AGCATGTAATTATTTTTCTTTTCTTTTTGTATATGGGATCAATGAAATAGTAATGTAACTTTTAAGTACATGGTGATACTTAATAATGTCATGTCTTTCTGGAGTTTGTACATCTTGAAAATTACTTCTGGTCTTGCCTTATTAACTCCTGTTCATTTGGTACAGTTAAAAAAATTTGATGTATGTCTTTGGATCAGGAGGTTTTTCATACATCCGTCTGACCAGACAGGTTTATTGGTACCAAAGTTCTGTCTGCATATTTTGCAAAATGAACTCCTATCACAGTTTTGACCTGATTCACAGGTATACTATATCAGTGAGGCATCAGGATGTACTCCTCTTGTCATGTCATTTCCTCACTTTGAGATGGAGTTATGCTCCATTTGTTATTTCAATTAATGGAAGTGTATGGAATCAACAGTTTCAAGCAGAAACAATTTCAGTATTACATGAGGATGTACAACTGGCAAGCAACACCGGGATTCTAGAGCAGTCCTGTTTGCTCAGTGCAAGGGACTTGAGGCGTCTAGATTTTCTTCAAGCCTTTTGGCAAATGTCCCCACAGCTCAGGCTAGGGGTGGCTCCAATATCTTCCCCTTCTGTTCCTAAGGCATCCCTTCCCCAGGATATGGATACCTGGGAACCAATGAACTGTGAGGGATCGGGCATGGCAGAATGTGATGTTCTAGATATTTTGCCTGGGTGTTCCAAGGTTGATGACCTCGAATGCAAAGCCCCTGTCTTCAGATGGTACTCTTTTTGATGGTGAGTCCCAGTCGTAAGATGAGGCTGAGGATGAGGTAGTAACTGATAGGTTTTCCACCTTGCTTGCCTTGTGTGCAGATGTTGCCCTTATCCTTGGCAAGAAGGCTTACCAACTCCTTCTGCATCATTAGTCCCCGAGGCCACCACATTGTTGAGCTCAGCGGGACCTCCAAAACCTGCTCTTCACAATGATAGAACCCTGCCTGAGGGAACTATTGTGTCCTCTGTTCTGGCTAACACCTCAGCAAGTGTTGTAGAGAAGAATTCCTCTTCTACTCCGACCCCTTGGTTTCCTGGGTTTCATGGGCTGCAACTTGGGGCAATTTACTTATCGGAGGTTAAATCCTCCGATTATTCCATCCATGACAGGAAACTTGCTCCATTTCTGGCGGTGCTCACTGCTCACCAAACATGATGTTCGCAGGTGTTCCATTCTTAAGGACATTCAGGTCAGTGAGCCTTTCTGTTATTACCTTATGACGGCACTTTCAATGGACCTACTCTGTTCAGGAGGTTTTACAGGGGACTCACTGGTCTCTGGCATTCTTGTCAAGAAGCCTGGACCCAGTGGTCCTAGTTCGTCTCCGGGTTCTGGGCCTGCTGTCTAGTCTAGGCCTAATCCTAAGCAACGTGCTGGTGGGAAGAAGTCGAAAACTGTTTTCAAAGGGAAGAATGGTGAGGGTGGCAAGAAACCTCCTTCCAAGGGGAAGTCATGTCCCTGACTCTCTTCTTCCCTCTTTGCCACTACCTGTTGTCACAGGCCGATGAGACATTGGTCCGGTGTCTTCTAGCCCTGTTTCCGCTGTGTGGGAGGATTTAGATGTTCCAATACCAGAAGTTCCAGTAGGCAGCCATCTGGCTTCCTTCCTTCCAAGGCCAATGTTCTTTCCCCCTCCAGGGGATCCAGAAACGGCTCATGCAGTGAGGGAAAAAGTATGCACCATGCGATGCATGGGGGCGGTCAGGGAGGTTCCAGCAGTGTGATGTATGCCTGGTTGCACCTCCAGAATGATTCTGATTCAGAAGAAATCCAGTGCATGGTGTCCAGTCATCAATCTGAGTGCTTTCAACAAGCACATGGATTCTCCTCACTTCAAGATGGAGATGGAGACCCCAGGGAGCATCATCACTTCCGTAGGGGAGGATATGTGGGCAACATCAGTCAATCTGAAGGATGCCTACTTCCTTATCCCTATCAAGAAGTCAACAAGGAAGTACCTCCATTTTACTTGCGATGGCAGGGTCTTTCAGTTCTTGGCCAAGTCTTTGAGCCTCACCACTACCCCTCTGGTTTTTACCAAACTTTTACAGTGAGTTTCCTGCACTTGCGTGGTAAGTGATTAATTGCTGTAGGATACCGCTTGGTCCTGAAAATCGTGCTGAAGGTAGGCTTCATTCCCTCCAGAAAGATGTCGGAGGTTTTCCCTTCTCAGAAGTTTGTGTATCTTTGATACCATTTCAATACAGTTCTGAACATTGTCTTCCCACAAGAGGAAGGCTTGAGACTTGGTTCTAGCTTTCATGAACATTTCTTGGGTTCAGATTTGTTGGTTCCCTCAGATTTCTGCGGTATCTCAACTCCCTGGCAGATGTGATTCCTTTGGAATGTCTTCACATCAGATCCTTGTAAATGTTCCTGTTTGCCAACTGAGTCCCTGCTTCAAGGGAGTGGGAAGCAATGCTCCCCTTCACCCAGTCAGTAAAGGACTTTTCTTCTTGGTGGACTTGCTGGGACAACATTCTTCCATTGGTCCCCTCTGCAAGCCAACACAGGGCTAGGTGTCTACCTGGCTGGCCATGTCCAATCAGGTGAGTGGTCCAGGGAACAGCTCTCAGAGCATATCATTGTGCTGGATATGAGAGCAGTCCTGCTGGCTCTGCAATCCCTGTGGGAAATGTCACAGGTTATTTGTCTGGCGACAGACACCTCTACAGTTGTCGCTTACCTGAAGAAGCAAGGGGGCATCAGGTCTCATGTGCTATGTGCCTTGGCTGTCAAGGTTATTCTGCTTTCATCTGTGGCATTAGTGTATTTCTGGTCGTGAGTAGGTACAACAGGGTAGCAAAGAGGGGCTCCCTACAGGGGGTTTATTGGGGTCTTGTTTTTGTTTGTAAATATATACAAATGAATGGAAATTTGTGGTAGATATGCGAACTAAAGTTAGGGTAAGTACTACATCATAGAAATTGGTTTTACAAAAAAAAAACTCAATTTACAGTAAAATAGTATATACCTATCCTCAGATCATATGATCATTTAGACAAGGAAGTAATGGTGTTGGCTTTGCTGCTTCAGTTTTAATCACACAAATAAAAGAAAATTCTTCTGAAGATTGAAGAGGTTAGATGTGTTGAAATCCTTTGGACTAACCAACAGGACTTGAGTTGTGATAGATCTGTAACATACTTTACTTGAATATTAATCAAGTTATATTTTAAAAGGTGTATTATGTCGGCCCAGTTGGTCTCTTGTAATGCCAGAATTAGTTGAACATTATATAGTCAAACATGTGTATAGAAGTCATTCAAGGGAGAAAAGGAAATTTGCTGTTATACACAGGTTGCCTTTATATAGAGGTTCATTACATAGGGAACCAAAACCTTGGCCAGTAGAGACTGGTGACATTGGTATAACATTGGTCTTTAGACTGGTGTGACTGTATTAATATTGGCAAGTCCGTAAATCAACAGTCTAAATTATATTAGTCTACTACTTAAAGCTTACTCTACCAGACTTAAATAACAGGTTTAAGATATATGGATGTTTTGAGGGTAGATTCTGTAAATATAGCTGTCTATATGAAGTGCTTAAACATTGAGCGGATGACTATTCAAAGTAAGAAAGTCATCCATCTCTCACAGCCAAATATCAAGTGTGGTAATCACAGATAGCAGACTGGCAATCGGATTTATTTACTTATCAAGATAGGAACAAATATTCACAGGACGAGAGCTCTTGAAATCTCAAGCTGAATGTTAAATGGTGTGTTTGTGTGTGAAAGGACAACCTGCTTTTTCTTATGTAAGTGCATTTTGATGTCCTGTGATTTCATGTAAAACCCAACGTAGGCTGACTACTTGATCAGTATTCAGAATGTCAAGATTGAAACTGTTGAACTAAGAAAATATATCTGTTAGCTGGTGTGGTTTTATGTCGTTCAATATTGTCATGCATACACAGGTAAAACTTGGATAGCATTATTGGATCACTTGAGAAAAACATGACTAGGTTACAATATGCTGCTTTCTCTACCTGGATAGTTTTTGCTGCAGTCATGTAGTGGCTTTACCTGGATGAGTGAATAAAATAAAACATTTTTTCATAGAAATTGATTTTCAACTTTTTTCTTATTGAAAAAATAATTAAATCAGTTTGTACCTGGAGGTTAAGTATTTTTTGGATGTGAAATGTAATAAATATTATACAGCCAATTCCTTATAAAATATACTTCTCTGTCTACCAAACTTTCATATTTGGTTCAAAATTTCTTCTTTAAAGTAAATCACATCATTTTGGATTTTGACTGTTTAAGTCTATTGTCAATTTTTGTGATGTCAGCGCTATCGTCTAAACAAAGGTTTGTTTTAGCTAACTTGAGTTCACTTCAGCCAAACAAGCTCAAACTTCATACAATGCTTTTTTACCAAAAGTGCTTGCTTGGGATTGCTTTTCAGGTCCAAAGGTCAAAGGCACTGTTACTATAAATAGAACATCTTTTAAAAAAATCAGAATCTGCAAGTTTACTCATCATATCTCAAACAAATGGACAAATTATATAAATGGAATAAATACAATGAATAACTATGGCTATTTTTCCATAAAACTCATCTCCAGGTGACACACCCACTACTATGGAATTCTTGTTGTTTGACAGACACTTCACATTAAATTAATCTTCACATAATACACGGGAAGTTATGTTTAATGTAAAATTGACCTTCCTTAATTCTCGTCATATCAAAACAACGAGCAACAAACAAAGGAGATGATTCTGGTAGCAGTTTTAACCTTATATACATGTACCTCACATATATTTGCTTAATTATTTCATTCAGATTTTTGACACCAAAAAAACTTTAAAATTGATTATTTCATAAATTCAAACATTTCATGAGAAAGATAAAAAATTTTTGTTGTTAATCATTTATATATATTAATTTGTCAAATGTAGATCTATTAAATGTATATTTCTGAGGTCTAAAGTTGGTGGATTGATAGTATTTCCTTGTTACAGCGATGTCAGTTGATGGAAAACCTTTTGCGTCGGAGCGGACATAACCAGTTTCAGTTCCTTTATACTGTGATGCAGCCTAATGTCCACCGTGATTTTATCTACAATGCTAAATCTCACTTCCCTGGCATGGACTTCAAGTCGGTCAGCACACCTGCCATGAGAGATGCACAGGTAGAGTAATGAGGGATAGGTATTTTATTTCAGTGATTTAAGGGTATTTTGGATGGTATGTAGTTTTTAAGTTACGTATCAAGGCAGCAGTGCACATTTTTTCATTGGCCATGCAATGACAAACAGAAAATTATCATACCATATTAAAATCTGCCATTTTCTGTTTGTTTTTGATAGGATGCAGGCAATCAGTACCAAGTACAAATACATGTATTTTCAATGTTAGCCCACATTACCACCTAGAGTGATTGAAGTCTTTGTACATGTATTTCTGATACGAGTAGAAAGCCAATATGGACCTAACATTATCTAAAGTATAAATGAAATATTTTCATTACCAAACAGAAAAGGGACAGGGAGAAACAAAATGAAAAACGGGTACAGTATAATGTTATTGTTATGAAGATTTGTTTTCAGTTTGTGTGGTGACAGTTTTCTCAATATAGAATTGTTCCATTTATTCATGAAGATTCATATTTCCTTTGTGTATCAATTAATGCTTTGGAATGTTGATCCTGCAGTTTATGAAAATCATAGAAAATACCTGTGTCATCTGTGTATCAGGTTATGTCAGGGTATTTAATCTGAAATTTTTATATTTACATGTCAGTTCTTAATACGACAAGATTAAATTGAATTGCTGTTTATAATAATGATGTAATTCAAACAAATTCTTTTATTTAAAAAACTTCAAAATAGAAGAAATGCTTAGAGTGTAATTAATTTGAAAACATCAGGCACCCGATAAAGATAAATCCATAGAAACATATAATTATATATTTATCAAAATTTCTAGAAATACAGTCCACTTGCAGACCTGGAAGGAATTTATACTAGCTTTAATTGTTTGCTGAAGATGTGATTTCCATTTTTCTATGTCTGGTGGAGGTTTATGTTCATTTGTTGCATCTTTGTCTTTATCAGTGTAGATTGTCATATTGTCACTAATGATATACATGTATAAGCATTTTGGGTTTGGTTTTGCATTTTCGTACAATTTCTTTTATGCTTTGCCTTTTTTTAACCTACATCATCCTGGTTGCTCATTTTCTTTTCTTTGACCACTATGCTGTAGATGTTTTAAAGTTACCTGCGGTGTCTGATTTCAGACATGTATCACATGATCTATCAGATTTCTCTATAATATAGATTATATTGAATTATTCCTTTAATTAATACCATCAATGGCCAAAGGTAGATTTTGCATATTTGAACCATATTTGTAGTTCCAACCTCGGTTATCAGAATGTGTATCATTAGAGGTTGTTACCAATATAGGACCAATTTGATGAAAGATTTCAGTACCTAAAATGACAGCTATTCAGTATTACCTAGTACATATATTGGTGAGCTACTTCATTGTGCTGAATATCTTTATCTGTATCATTGACAGAGGAGACTGAAGCTGTATCGCCAGGACAACTACTTCAGGGAGAAAAGTGCTCACCTTAAGGACGACTCCCAGGTGACACACCTGACTGAGGAACATAATGAAATGGGGATACGACTACCTCAGATCCCTACTGGGGCCAAATACAACACTGACAAGGGAACTGATATGAGGTCTACATATTTTTAGGATTGTTACTTTTCATGAAATATTTCATATTATTTAGAATATGATTTGGTTATTAGATTACTTACTTTTGTTAGAAAAATTGTAAATAAACGTATACATGCATTGAGCATTTAATTTGTACAATTTTAAATATGCTTTCATTTTATTTCAGTGTAATCAACTTTAAATCTAAGCATAAAAAGAAAGGATCAAGCTTCCCAAAAATCATCACATCCAACGCTTTACCTAAAAATCACAAAAATAAACCAAAGCCGGTCAAGTCAGTTGTCAATTCTGATGAAATAGCAGCTGTCAATGCCAGTGCACCTGTATTACGGTAAGTGTAGATATAGCTACTGTACCAGTACTTCTGTACTACAGTGTAGATATAGCTAGGTTACTGTACCAGTACTTCTGTACTACAGTGTTGTTATAGCTTGGTTACTGTACCAGTACTTCTGTACTACAGTGTTGTTATATCTAAGTTACTGTACCAGTACTTCTGTACTATAGTGATGTTATAGCTAAGTTACTGTACCAGTACTTCTGTACTAGTGTTGTTATAGCTAAGTTACTGTACCAGTACTTCTGTACAACAGTGTTGATATAGCTAGGTTACTGTACCAGTACTTCTGTACTACAGTGTTGTTATAGCTAAGTTACTGTACCAGTACTTCTGTACTACAGTGTTGATATAGCTAGGTTACTGTACCAGTACTTCTGTACTACAGTGTTGTTATAGCTAAGTTACTGTACCAGTACTTCTGTACTACAGTGTTGATATAGCTAGGTTACTGTACCAGTACTTCTGTACTACTACTACTACTACTACTATGCTGACGGTCGCAATGCGACAAAGTCTGTTCCTCTGTTCTATCCAACCGCTGATCTCCATATGCTTCTGTCATTACACAACTCTGGCCAGGAATTCAAGTTGATGTTCCTCCGTTTCAAATTTCTTTTGACTGTATCTTTAAACCGTAGTCGGGGTCTGCCTCTCTTCCTACTACCAACTGGAAGCTGTGAGAACAGGATCTGTTTTGGAAGTCGGTCTTGCGGCATCCTCATGATGTGCCCTGTCCATCGAAGGTTCTTTCTGATCAGCATGTCTTCCATGGGTGTTAATCCAGTTCTTTCAAGTATTTCCTTGTTGGTAACTTTGTCTTTCCAGGTTACTTTTATGATGGTTCTAAGGTGCCGCATCATAAAAGCATGAAGCTTCTTCACATGGCTTCTGTATACCGTCCACAACTCGGCTCCATACAAGAGAGTGGATATGACAATGGCTCTGTATATCTTTCCTTTCACCTTCAATGAAACATGATGGTTGTTCCAGAGTCTCTGATGTAATCTGCCAAAAGATGAACTGGCCTTAGCAATTCTTCTCTGTATTTCGGCATCAATACGCCCATCTTTCGCTGCTGTGCTACCAAGATAGGTGAACTCTGGGACAGAATTTAGTTTGATACCATCGACCAGTATATCCACCTCCTGGGACTTTGAAGAGTCTGGTTGGTATAGCACTTCAGTTTTCTTGATGTTTATCTTTAGTCCAAATTTCTTTGATGCTTCCGAGAAGGCATTTACTATGCGTTGAATTTCCTGTGGTGAGTGGGCAAGTAGGGCACTGTCATCTGCGAAGAGTAGCTCCCTTATCAGTACCTGGATGCTCTTGGTTCTTGCCTTGAAGTGTGTGACCTTAAAGAGGTCTGCATCTTGCCTTGACTGGATGTAGACACCATCTGTCAAGTCTCTGAAAGCTTCATCCAGCATCGCTGATAGGAATATGGAGAAGAGAGTAGGTGCTAGTACACAGCCTTGTTTGACTCCATTTGTAACTTCAAAAGCATCGGATGTTTCCACTCCATCGCTGACTTTGGCCTTCATCCCTGTGTGCAGCGACTCAATCATGGATGTGAACTTATCAGGGCATCCATACTTCCTCAGCAGCTGCCACAGACCTGTTCTTCCAACTGTATCAAAGGCTTTAGTGAAGTCTACAAATACAACGTACAGTGGCTGGTCCTGCTCGATACACTTTTCTTGTAACTGTCGGAGGCTGAAGATCATGTCGATGGTGCTCCTATTGGGCCTGAAACCACACTGTGACTCGGGAACTATTTCTGGAGTGACATGCTTGGAGAGTCTGTTCAGAAGGATCCTAGCGAAGACTTTGCCAGCAATGGACAACAGAGAGATTCCTCGATAGTTTCCGCAATCTGACCTGTCTCCTTTCTTGTAGATGGTTACAATACTTGCATCCTTCCAGGCTTGTGGAACTGTACCTTCATCCCATGCACTGCATATCAGCTGGTGCAGCCTGTCCACTAATTTGGTACCTCCATGTTTCCATACTTCTGTACTACAGTGTTGATATAGCTAGGTTACTGTACCAGTACTTCTGTACTACAGTGTTGATATAGCTAGGTTACTGTACCAGTACTTCTGTACTACAGTGTTGCTATAGCTAGGTTACTGTACCAGTACTTCTGTACTATAGTGTTGTTATAGCTTGGTTACTGTACCAGTACTTCTGTACTACAGTGTTGGTACTGTACCAGTACTTCTGTACTATAGTGATGTTATAGCTAAGTTACTGTACCAGTCCTTCTGTACTACAGTGTTGTTATAGCTAAGTTACCGTACCAGTACTTGTGTACTATAGTGTTGTTATAACTAACAGTTACTGTACCAGTACTTCTGTACTACAGAGTAGATATAGCTAGGTTACTGTACCAGTACTTCTGTACTACAGTGTTGATATAGCTAGGTTACTGTACCAGTACTTCTGTACTACAGTGTTGTTATAGCTAGGTTACTGTACCAGTACTTCTGTACTACAGTGTTGTTATAGCGTGGTTACTGTACCAGTACTTCTGTACTACAGTGTTGTTATAACTAAGTTACTGTACCAGTACTTCTGTACTACAGAGTAGATATAGCTAGGTTACTGTACCAGTACTTCTGTACTACAGTGTTGATATAGCTAGGTTACTGTACCAGTACTTCTGTAATACAGTGTTGATATAGCTTGGTTACTGTACCAGTACTTCTGTACTATAGTGTTGTTATAACTAAGTTACTGTACCAGTACTTCTGTACTACAGTGTTGATATAGCTAGGTTACTGTACCAGTACTTCTGTACTACAGTGTTGTTATAACTAACAGTTACTGTACCAGTACTTCTGTACTACAGTGTTGTTATAACTAACAGTTACTGTACCAGTACTTCTGTACTACAGTGTTGTTATAACTAACAGTTACTGTACCAGTACTTCTGTACTACAGTGTTGTTATAACTAGCAGTTACTGTACCAGTACTTCCGTACTACAGTGTTGTTATAGCTAAGTTACTGTACCAGTACTTCTGTACTACAGTGTTGTTATAACTAACAGTTACTGTACCAGTACTTCTGTACTACAGTGTTGTTATAACTAACAGTTACTGTACCAGTACTTCTGTACTACAGTGTTGTTATAACTAACAGTTACTGTACCAGTACTTCTGTACTACAATGTTGTTATAGTTAAGTTACTGTACCGGTACTTCTGTACAACAGTGTCGTTATAGCTAAGTTACTGTACCAGTACTTCTGTACTACAGTGTTGATATAGCTAGGTTACTGTACCAGTACTTCTGTACTACAGTGTTGTTATAGCTTGGTTACTGTACCAGTACTTCTGTACTATAGTGTTGTTATAACTAAGTTACTGTACCAGTAGTTCCGTACTACAGTGTTGATATAGCTAGGTTACTGTACCAGTACTTCTGTACTACAGTGTTGTTATAGCTTGGTTACTGTACCAGTACTTCTGTACTATAGTGTTGTTATAACTAAGTTACTGTACCAGTACTTCTGTACTACAGTGTTGATATAGCTAGGTTACTGTACCAGTACTTCTGTACTACAGTGTTGATATAGCTAGGTTACTGTACCAGTACTTCTGTACTACAGTGTTGTTATAGCTTGGTTACTGTACCAGTACTTCTGTACTATAGTGTTGTTATAACTAAGTTACTGTACCAGTACTTCTGTACTACAGTGTTGATATAGCTAGGTTACTGTACCAGTACTTCTGTACTACAGTGTTGTTATAACTAACAGTTACTGTACCAGTACTTCTGTACTACAGTGTTGTTATAACTAACAGTTACTGTACCAGTACTTCTGTACTACAGTGTTGTTATAACTAACAGTTACTGTACCAGTACTTCTGTACTACAGTGTTGTTATAACTAGCAGTTACTGTACCAGTACTTCCGTACTACAGTGTTGTTATAGCTAAGTTACTGTACCAGTACTTCTGTACTATAGTGTTGTTATAACTAACAGTTACTGTACCAGTACTTCTGTACTACAGTGTTGTTATAACTAACAGTTACTGTACCAGTACTTCTGTACTACAGTGTTGTTATAACTAACAGTTACTGTACCAGTACTTCTGTACTACAATGTTGTTATAGTTAAGTTACTGTACCAGTACTTCTGTACAACAGTGTTGTTATAGCTAAGTTACTGTACCAGTACTTCTGTACTACAGTGTTGTTATAGCTAAGTTACTGTACCAGTACTTCTGTACAACAGTGTTGTTATATCTAAGTTACTGTACCAGTACTTCTGTACTACAGTGATGTTATAGCTTGGTTACTGTACCAGTACTTCTGTACTACAGTGATGTTATAGCTTGGTTACTGTACCAGTACTTCTGTACAACAGTGTTGTTATAACTAAGTTACTGTACCAGTACTTCTGTACTACAGTGTTGTTATAGCTAAGTTACTGTACCAGTACTTCTGTACTACAGTGTTGTTATAACTAACAGTTACTGTACCAGTACTTCTGTACTACAGTGTTGTTATAACTAACAGTTACTGTACCAGTACTTCTGTACTACAGTGTTGTTATAACTAACAGTTACTGTACCAGTACTTCTGTACTACAGTGTTGTTATAACTAACAGTTACTGTACCAGTACTTCTGTACTACAGTGATGTTATAGCTTGGTTACTGTACCAGTACTTCTGTACTACAGTGATGTTATAGCTTGGTTACTGTACCAGTACTTCTGTACTATAGTGTTGTTATAACTAAGTTACTGTACCAGTACTTCTGTACTACAGTAAGTATTTATTAAGTTGATGGAAACTAAATCATTTTAAAACATTTTTTTTTTTACTGATTTTTATTTTTACTGCAAAAAAATATCAAGTATATTACCTATAACAATGTATAACAGTGACAGTTGTTTTTCGCTGAAATATGCGTATCAAGAGGTTAAGTAATAATTATGTAAAAAGAAATCCCTAGCTGTTCATCAACAGTTTCGATAATTACATAAATTTCTACATCATATATGATAATGCATGTGCACAAAACACCGTTGCCTGTGAGTAAAAACATCTATATGCCTGAATCAGTCATGACAATGTTAGTGATAAATGTCTTTCATATTTTTAATTCTGTATTGACATAAGAATTATCAGATAATATTTGCGACACCCATAATAAAATCTGATATTGAAAAAACAGGATTTTACTTACTGTATGATACTACTGTGGCTATCATTTCTGCCCGCCATCATGTAATTGTATTTACAAGATGTACTGCCTCGTTTTCAAAACTATTATGTAACATTATCAGCGGTAAATGTAAGAATTGTTTCCTGAACGAAAGAAGTGGTCGAGCTGGACATTGTGTACTGACTGTGAATATCAGGATATCATAGAAACATTAGTGAAAATGTATAAAACATGTTACAATCAATAACAAAACAAATGGTTTTACCGTGATGTCTACTTAATTGTTAAGTTGTATCGCTTTCCATGATGATCCCATTTTTAGCTGTTCATTAAAACTAAATAAAAAATGTAAAAGATTATGGTATTTGAAGGGTAATATAAATGTCAGTGTTGAACTATAAAAGAAACTTTAATGCTATCTTTATTTTTTTTTTATATATATTCAACATCTTAGTTACAAAATCATGGTGGAAAAGTTGTATTGCCCTATCAATTTTGATTTTATTGTTAGGTCAGATGAATAATTTTACAGGATATTTTGAATGTGTTCATTATATACGGACAGCGTAAGGTTTTCATGGAATTAATGTCCCTTCAATTTAATCTAACCACATTTTACATTACATATAAAACTGTCAACAATTGGAACATGTATGATAATCTCATTGATGTGATGTAAAACTTTCCTCCATCAGCCTGATAGCCAGTTTTCTGTGGATAAGATAGGCTAAGGTACCTAGTTCATTTGTCAGAGTATAGGTAGCACCCACCTGTGAAACCCCAAAGGTCAATAATATTGGAAGGACTCGCTTTGGCTGCCTTTGTTGAACATTCATGAAAAATTTACAGCACATATATTAGATGAATATCAATCTGTATGGTCCTATTGAACAGTTTTCTGTTAAATATAATACACCTTGAAAATGATAGAATTTATTGGATTAGATTTTTCATGGAATGCTGTAGGTTAGATGTTCTTTGAGGTATGTGTATTTATGTGGTAAGTAGGAAATGTGGGAGGTTTAACATCACATTATGTAGGCAGATGATAAATGAGTACAAATACTAACATATTAACTTCAAAGGTTTTTATCATATTAACTCAAAAAATATTAGAGTTGTACTGGTGATGTGTCAAACAGTGTAACTATTTGTACAGGTAAATACATACAGTTTAATATTTCTTCCTTCTAATATAAGATTTATAAAATATAATTAATGTCTCAGTCTTTTGAAATCAAATGTGTATTGTAAGGAAGACTACTTCTTTAGAGTAAGTTTGTTGAAGACAGGTTATTAAATAGATAGTGATTGAAGACCAGTTACATTGGCTATTACAAAGTACCAGCAGACATCCTTATGATTGTGGTGCTCAAATTGATTATCATTTGCTGTCTGTCCTTCTAAGTAGATTTCAACAAAAGTTTGGCCTATTGTGTTTACTCAACTCCTGATGACCAAAGGATTTAAACAAGGGGGTTAAGGAATGCAGCGTAAAATTGTTAAACTGGAAAGTTAATGATTTACACTGTAAATGGTATCCTCTAAAAGCAGCCATCAAATGTCAACCAAATAGAGGACAGTAGCATCATTAGCTGATGGAAATAAAATGATTCCTACATAGAAGTAATGCCAGGTTGTTGTGAGGAGATGCACTTGAATTTATTTTCTAGAGTTATGGCCCTTGTACTTATATGATTTCAAGAGACTCTTTGTTCTGCTTATTTTCTCTGTACACCAAATCAACTGGTAATTTACCTTTGTAGTCAGCGTTGGCCAGGTTATATATCTGACATAGTACAAAACCAATTAGTGTACTTCCCCTTCTTTGCTGACTGGCTCAAGACTTTCTTCTTTGGTACTGCCTGATTTACAGAAGCATTCTACACATCCAAGTACAAGATACATTATCCCACAGTCAGATGCCTGTCTGTTAGTTGTCTTCTTAATTAACATAAAACAACAGGATGTGGTCCTTCAAATTTAAATAGTTAAAACCTTCTGGTACTGTAAGGTAAGATTAAGTAGATTTGTTCATATTCTTAATTAGAATCCAACAGTTATACACAGCAAATGTTTATTTTGAAAACAGAATCCTCAATGGATGTAGACAATAATTGAATGTGGATCAGAGGTGGGTTTTTTTTTTTTTCTAAACTGTCAGTGTTCATTGTAAGGTGATTGTGCTTGTAAATATATCACCAAATCCACTTCAGTGTGTTTGAATTCATTTTATACAGCTGTTTCAATTTTGAACTTTACCCATATCTTTCAGGGTGTTACTTTTGGCCTTTTAAACGTTAAGTGTTAGAATGCTTGGATTAGATTACTGTTTCTTTAAAGTTTTATTGTTATTTTGTTAGCTGCTCTGAAGGTGTTGTTGTTAAACACTGAAAACAGTTTGAAGAAATAGAAATCAACAAAACTTACCTACTGAATAATTTGGTATCATCTCACTAATCAAGTTAGCCAGCTGTCAAAACACATAACCCAAGGGAGCATTGTAATGTTTCTATAATCAAGCTTATTATATCAGCGACATTTTAAATTGTCCCTTGTGTGGCTACATTACATGTGGACACTGATGTTTGGAATCTTAGCTACTTCCAAGTCAAATTTTAACACATTAGAACAACAAATAGTTTGCTGTGTTGAACAAACTGGCTGTAAATCACAAACATTTTGTAAACACTTGTTTCAGATTTATTGACATGCCAATCCGTCGCCATATCCAGGATGAGGGAAACATGCGTTATCTCGGGTCATCTCTCAGCTCCCTCCCAGTATCTATCCGGTATACCCTGGAATCCTCCGTCAGTTTCATCCAGGAAGACCAGAACCAGCCGCAGAAAAAGAAAAAGGTAGGTACAGCAAGGCTTAGAGATGATTTTTGTTAGATAAGTAATTATGCAATATTAGACAGGAGAGGTGTAATGTAAGACAGATGTTGGTGAGAATGTAGTGTTAGACAGGTGGTGTTTATGTTTGTGAAGATGTAATGTTAGACAAATGATGAATATGTTTGTGAAGATGTAATGTTAGATTGGTGATGTGTATGTTAGACAGGTGATGTATATGTTTTTAAAGATGTAATGTTAGACAAATGATGAATATGTTTGTGGAGATGTAATGTTAGATTGGTGATGTGTATGTTAGACAGGTGATGTATATGTTTGTGAAGATGTTATGTTAGACAGGTGATGTATATGTTTGTGAAGATGTAATGTTAGACAGGTGATGTTTATGTTTTTAAAGATGTAATGTTAGACAAATGATGAATATGTTTGTGAAGATGTAATGTTAGACAGGTGATGTATATGTTTGTGAAGATGTAATGTTAGACAGGTGATGTTTATGTTTTTAAAGATGTAATGTTAGACAAATGATGAATATGTTTGTGAAGATGTAATGTTAGATTGGTGATATGTATGTTAGACAAGTGATGTATATGTTTGTGAAGATGTAGTGTTAGACAGGTGATGTAATGTTAGACAGGTGATGTATATGTTTGTGAAGATGTAATGTTAGACAGGTGATGTTTATGTTTTTAAAGATGTAATGTTAGACAAATGATGAATATGTTTTTGAAGATGTAATGTAAGATTGGTGATGTGTATGTTAGACAGGTGATGTATATGTTTGTGAAGATGTAATGTTAGACAGGTGATGTATATGTTTGTGAAGATGTAATGTTAGACAGGTGATGTATATGTTTGTGAAGATGTAATGTTAGACAGGTGATGTATATGTTTGTGAAGATGTAATGTTAGACTGGTGATGTGTATGTTAGACAGGTGATGTTTATGTTTTTAAAGATGTAATGTTAGACAAATGATGAATATGTTTGTGAAGATGTAATGTTAGATTGGTAATGTGTATGTTAGACAGGTGATGTATATGTTTGTGAAGATGTAATGTTAGACAGGTGATGTATATGTTTGTGAAGATGTAATGTTAGACAGGTGATGTATATGTTTGTGAAGATGTATATGTTAGACAGGTGATGTATGCATCTGTGAATATGTAATGTTAGACAGGTGATGTAATGTTGCCTGTGATTATGTAATTTAGAAAAATAATGTAATGTTAGTGAGGATGTAATATGATGCAGTGATAGACAGGTGGTATAACTATATATTTATGATATGTAGGTCAATAATCCTACTTAGCCATTTTGGCATTGGAAGAATCTTTAATTGATAGTATTTTTCACTTCTTTGATTTATCCTTGATTTGTGGTACAATAATAACTTACTAGTATATACTATAATAATTTGTAATGTATTACAGAAGAACGTACTAGACGAGGAGGCGTGGTCTGTGATACACTGGTACCAAGAAGAGTGGTCAGGTGAGGAGGGATTGTGATTCTTTACTTTTGTGTTCATGGCATCCTAGGATTTTTCCTTTATGTTGGGGATAGTGTGACGTCGGTAGCTGAGAGAGCACAGGACGATTTGTTATACAATATTTACAAGTTTATTAACAATATATTCATATCTAATGTAGCTATGGAGAGACACTATATATATGTACACACACTCACAACTATACAATCATACATTCAAAACTATGTGTCATTTCATAATTCATATAAGTTGGTATCACAGCCACAGTACAATTCTTTATACACACATTGGAAAAATCAGGTGGCTCCTCAGTATTCAGATTCCACATTCCATTGCTGATAACTGTGGGTTTATGGATCAACGCAGAAGGGTTAGCACTGGTGTGCTTGGATACAAGACCTCCAGCTCAACAGATGACCTGAGGACTGCCACCTCACTGACAGTTGCTGTCAATGCTATAGTTGTCTTTCTTTGTGGAACTGATCCAAAGAATCAGTGTCTCATCCTCTTCGTGATCACCAACCCATTCATGGAAATCTACAAATAATGATAAACATACATACATACTTACACACTATATACCATACTCCCAAGAAAAGTAACACCACGTCAGATCATTACTCTTTTTATCATCACTAAATATACATATTAACTTCATAGATAAATAGATAGGTCCATATATCTATATATTATATACTGTTACCAAATGGTCATGTATTCAATCAATCATCATTACATGTATATGGTCTAAATAAGCTGTGTTTATGTAACAAGTTATTAAGATGTAAATAAATGTAAGTTACTGTAAACTTTTCCATATATAAAGGGAAATACAAGGAATAATATTTACAGCTATGATATCAGCTATCAACACTAGCAGACAGCTACCGTAATACCTACAAAAATATGCCTTGCATTTACCTGTAGGACCACTCTTGTTGTCTTTCACAAAAATGATTATTTTGTGGGATAATAAGATATAGTCTTAAGAAGTGCATGAGTTCAGTATCTTTTTTTTAAGATAAAGGATCTGCAGGAGTGTAACTGTATGTAATTATGTATGGTATAGACTTTCGTATGTATGTGTTTTACAGTTCTTTTGTTACAATCATATATTAATGTAATTTACAGAAAGAACATATTTGACACCATAATATATGTAGGTATGGGGTTTACTCGTAGAATAACATGAGAGAACATTCACTTGACCAGAAAATACTGAAAAACTCAATACAAACACACTATCATAATGCATTTACTTCTCTGGAGCTTTCCATTCTAGATAAATGTATAAATGTCAGTATATTGTAAAATGGATTTCTTTGGGACTTCTAGAGATTACAGCAAAGTTTGAAATCTAAACAGGCCAACATTTTGTGACTGTACTTGAAAAATTCCCAGACATTCAAATTTCTAACACATCGTACTTAAGTAGATATCAAGTAATTGTAAGCCATACTAACTCTAGATGTTATCATATCAGTTGACTTAAGGATAAAGTATTGATTGTAACTACCTCGCTACATATTGACATATCATCATTTATATTCCAATTTGCTTTGTTTGTATTTACAGATGTGAGGAAGAATGAATTTCTTCACAAATTTCTCCTCAAGCTTGATCCCAGACAACACTATTTTATATCCAGCTTTTTATCGGTGAGTCAACAGGATTATCGTAATGTGTGGCTACCTTCACAGGCAAAAATCTAATCCAACACAAATGGCATTCACATGCATGTGGACGTTGAAGGATATGCTGAATTGAATAGGCTTTAAATTACAAATTTTTCTTCTTGTATCAGCTTCTGTTTATAGCTATGATTTTTTTGTCTATTTTAAGGTTATAAGATTAGTTATTTATTTCTAACAGAAAGGAAAGAATGATGATTTTTTTATACCCATAAAATAACGACCATGAATTCTAAAGATTAAAACATTGGTTTTATGAATGGGTTCAAGATGAATGGTTATATACTAGATATATATATATATAAATATCACTTTAAAAGAATATTTTAATTCCAAAATAAAAAAAATTGTGTATTTGATGTATGATTTAGATCAAACCATGTCAGTATTTTTTATGTCAAATGGACATTAAGATGTTAAAATGTTGTTTTTATGTCTGATTTTAAAAGAAAATGTTCACACCTGTAGTCTTTAGATAAAAATATCAATATTTCATTTTAATTTAAGCTGATACATCAATAATATTAACAGGAACCTGTTTCTACATGTTAATTTCCTTCCATACATGATATTCTACATGTAAACTACTCGGCCATTTAAGCTTAGTGATACAGCAAATCAAAGGAATAGATGTGATACATGAAATGATTTGCCTTACTCTACAGTATAGTATCAGTAACAATTGTATTGCTAGTGCATGTTGGAGTCTGTAATCACTCATTTTTGATAATGGAAGACTGGATCTTATTCATTTTCATATGTAGGTTACCCTTTGTTCCTTAAATTGTCATGCCTTTTGATTTTGAAATTGATCAAAAAAGCAAAATGGCTGACAGATTTTCACAATGAGAGTTTGTTATCACTATTTCTTAAGAAATATGGATGGCTCTTTTTACAGATTTCATAGTTAGGTTACCATGACTTTGTAATTGTGCTCTTTCAATTTTGGAATTGATAAAAAAGCTGTAAGTGGCTCACTGGCGACCATCTTGGATTTGACAGTTAAAGATCATTAATGTTATTTCTTAAGAGAAATTTTCAAAGTTCATATAATTAAATAGCAAAAATAGAGGAACAAAGATACAAGAAGGGAAAAGATATTTTTGAAAAACAAATAAAGAATAATCATTTAAAGTTGTCAAGATCTCTTGTAAAAACTGAAATCAAGAAAATTAGGCATAAATGGGGTGTTGAAGACAAAAAAAAAGATTAAATTACCTGTGAAATAAGAAATACTATAATACATACATATTATTTAGGAAGATCAGTGCCCATACCTAAACGAACAGATACAGGTGATTATATAGGACATGAACTTTGACCATTACCATTCATTCTCCAGATGCGACATTACCGAGATTTCCTAACTATGCTACCAGAGCACATATCTCTGAAGATCCTGTACTACTTGACACCTGAAAAAATACTCAAGTGCACTCTGGTGAGTTATTCATATTTACTTTTTGACAAGCCGTTTTTCATTCTTAAAATTCATAACAATTGTGTTCTGTACACTTTCTGTTGATAAGATAAATGAAGTTGTTTAAACAGGTTGGTTAAATGCATTAATAACTTAGGTTGGTTAAATGTGTTGATAACTAAGGATGGTTAAATGTGTTAATAAATAAGGTAGGTTAAATGTGTTAATAACTTAGGTTGGTTAAATGCATGATTAAATGCATTGATAACTTAGGTTGGTTAAATGCATGGTTAAATGCATTAATAACTTAGGTTGGTTAAATGCATGGTTAAATGCGTTAATAACTTAGGTTGGTTAAATGCATGGTTAAATGCATTAATAACTTAGGTTGGTTAAATGCGTTAATAACTTAGGTTGGTTAAATGCATGGTTAAATGCGTTAATAACTTAGGTTGGTTAAATGCATGGTTAAATGCGTTAATAACTTAGGTTGGTTAAATGCATGGTTAAATGCATTAATAACTTAGGTTGGTTAAATGCGTTAATAACTTAGGTTGGTTAAATGCATGGTTAAATGCGTTAATAACTTAGGTTGGTTAAATGCATGGTTAAATGCATTAATAACTTAGGTTGGTTAAATGCATGATTAAATGCGTTAATAACTTAGGTTGGTTAAATGCATGATTAAATGCGTTAATAACTTCGGTTGGTTAAATTCATGGTTAAATGCATTAATAACTTAGGTTGGTTAAATGCATTAATAACTTAGGTTGGTTAAATGCGTTAATAACTTAGGTTGGTTAAATTCATGGTTAAATGCATTAATAACTTAGGTTGGTTAAATGCATGATTAAATGCGTTAATAACTTAGGTTGGTTAAATGCATGGTTAAATGCATTAATAACTTAGGTTGGTTAAATGCATGGTTAAATGCGTTAATAACTTAGGTTGGTTAAATGCATGGTTAAATGCATTAATAACTTAGGTTGGTTAAATGTGTTGATAACTAAGGATGGTTAAATGTGTTAATAAATAAGGTAGGTTAAATGTGTTAATAACTTAGGTTGGTTAAATGCATGATTAAATGCATTGATAACTTAGGTTGGTTAAATGCATGGTTAAATGCATTAATAACTTAGGTTGGTTAAATGCGTTAATAACTTAGGTTGGTTAAATGCATGGTTAAATGCATTAATAACTTAGGTTGGTTAAATGCATGGTTAAATGCATTAATAACTTAGGTTGGTTAAATGCGTTAATAACTTAGGTTGGTTAAATGCATGGTTAAATGCATTAATAACTTAGGTTGGTTAAATGCGTTAATAACTTAGGTTGGTTAAATGCATGGTTAAATGCATTAATAACTTAGGTTGGTTAAATGCATGATTAAATGCGTTAATAACTTAGGTTGGTTAAATGCATGATTAAATGCGTTAATAACTTAGGTTGGTTAAATGCATGGTTAAATGCATTAATAACTTAGGTTGGTTAAATGCGTTAATAACTTAGGTTGGTTAAATTCATGGTTAAATGCATTAATAACTTAGGTTGGTTAAATGCGTTAATAACTTAGGTTGGTTAAATGCATGGTTAAATGCGTTAATAACTTAGGTTGGTTAAATGCATGGTTAAATGCATTAATAACTTCGGTTGGTTGAATGCGTTAATAACTTAGGTTGGTTAAATGCGTTAATAACTTAGGTTAGTTAAATGTGTTAAGAAGTAAGGTAGGTTAAATGTGTTAATAACTTAGGTTGGTTAAATGCGTTAATAACTTAGGTTGGTTAAATGCATGATTAAATGCGTTAATAACTTAGGTTGGTTAAATGCATGATTAAATGCGTTAATAACTTAGGTTGGTTAAATGCATGGTTAAATGCATTAATAACTTAGGTTGGTTAAATGCGTTAATAACTTAGGTTGGTTAAATTCATGGTTAAATGCATTAATAACTTAGGTTGGTTAAATGCGTTAATAACTTAGGTTGGTTAAATGCATGGTTAAATGCATTAATAACTTCGGTTGGTTGAATGCGTTAATAACTTAGGTTGGTTAAATGCGTTAATAACTTAGGTTAGTTAAATGTGTTAAGAAGTAAGGTAGGTTAAATGTGTTAATAACTTAGGTTGGTTAAATGCGTTAATAACTTAGGTTGGTTAAATTCATGGTTAAATGCATTAATAACTTAGGTTGGTTAAATGCATTAATAACTTAGGTTGGTTAAATGCATGATTAAATGCGTTAATAACTTAGGTTGGTTAAATGCATGATTAAATGCGTTAATAACTTAGGTTGGTTAAATGCATGGTTAAATGCATTAATAACTTAGGTTGGTTAAATGCGTTAATAACTTAGGTTGGTTAAATTCATGGTTAAATGCATTAATAACTTAGGTTGGTTGAATGCGTTAATAACTTAGGTTGGTTAAATGCATTAATAACTTAGGTTGGTTGAATGCGTTAATAACTTAGGTTGGTTAAATGCGTTAATAACTTAGGTTGGTTAAATGTGTTAAGAAGTAAGGTAGGTTAAATGTGTTAATAACTTAGGTTTGTTAAATGCGTTAATAACTTAGGTTGGTTAAATGTGTTAATAACTTTAAGTTGTTTAAATGCAGTTATAACTTTTACTTGGAGCATTTATTATTTGAGACAGTATTACAATATTATGTTATATTTTGCACATTTATGATGCTTAAATGAGGAAAGGAGGTGACAATGCAAGATTGTATTGTAATGGCTTGGTTTGTGGGCATGGATGACAATATTTCAATTTTTAACTTTTTGATAGAGAGGTCATGACATAGTGAATGGATCATATCATTTCTTAATGACACATCAGTTAAAAGTAAAGCATAATATGGGAATCCATTTAAAGTCCATTTGTTAATAAACCACCACCATCATCAGTATCATGTTCCAATATAAAAGTGTTTAGAAGTGTTGTAAAGGAACCTTGAGGATCAGCTGAAACAGACCACATCATCATCATTATGTACACTCCATGGCTGTTTAGTGTCAGGAATTCATTATAGTATATTGCCTGGTTTGATATCTACCGGTATGTCTAACCAAAGGTTAATAATAGACACAAGGGGATTCCCTAGCTGTCCTAACAGTCACCTAATGTCTAAAATCATGTCAACTAATGCACTGACCATGTAAAATAGGATGTATACCAGTATAGGTACATATAGTAATGGGAAATCATTAGTAACCCACTCGATTGGACAATGCCTTGATCATTATCATTATCATCATCATCATCATCATCATCATCATCATCATCATCATCATCATCATCATCATCATCATCATCAGTAACCCCCTCAGGGATCAGATGGGTCAGCAGAAGTCTCAGTTCTTGGAAAAATAGGGATTATTATCTCCCCCTAGGTCAGCCCCAAGGTTCTCTCCGATATGCTGAATTTAGTGCTGGAGCAGTTTCTGGGAACATGCATGACAGTGTACATATTTTATCCGCAAACTTCACACACAGCACAGAAGAGGTGTCAGTCCAGTGGTAGAATTCTACCTAATTATTTTCATGACTGGGGAGTGTGGTAGATTTGTTGCCCACTGTAGTTGTGTAGGTGTAATAATCTGTATTAATGTTTTATCAATGGAAACTTAGTGCCTACATAACATTAGCCTTTGATAAGATTTCTCAGCCTTGGATTAAATCTTATAACCAGAAGTTTAGTGTTCATTTAATCCCTGATTTTGATTGTAAATCACCATGGTTTAAGGGGTAGAAATACATTATTAGCTTATGTAAAGGAAACTACACAAGATCTAACCAGTGTTATTTTGATGGTCAATAATTACGTATTTACACCTGGCACTTTTCTACCTGTATGTGTTTTATGTCCAAGTCACTAGGTCAGGTAGATAATCAACAAGGAAATAAGAATGAAAAATCAGGTTAATTGATCCTTTTTAACCAGGTTCCCTGATAGGGTAGAGGAATTCTGTAGATATTGTTCTACTGTGGGGGTGATCACCATCAGGTGGTTAACAATTCATGGTCATAAAAAGAGTGAAGGTAATTTGTAGGAATGTCATTAAAATTTACTGTAGAACTGTACGCTTTTCCAAGGGAAATCTTACTGCAGTTGTAATGTACTGTTGCAGAATTTCTGTTTTATACAGAAACATTTGGTTTGTATGATATGAGGTTGTGTTTAATCCGTAAAGCTTGGTAGTTACAATGGATTTCATTCATTGATTTATTTATATTATACCCAGAGCTTAACTTTGGAGTGTCTCAATGAAGTTTTGTGCAAGCCCGGATACGAAAGTTGTACCAATAAATATCAAATGACAGTTTTGAACCACTAAGTAAAGTAGCAGTTTCTCAAAAACAATTTAAATGGATATGACTACGACAACAGAGTCAAGGCCACAAAATTTGTATTGTAGCATTGGTTTTTATCACTAAACATTTATTTGCATTACACAACATATATCATCTTAACAGGCTGATATTGTAGAATTACCTGGTGTTAGTTACCAACCACTCTAACCTTAAAAGAATATATGATACACAGTTTTACTGACTGTCCATCAGTTAGTTCATTTAGCTGTCACACATTTGTACAATGTTTGACAACTCCCAAGTCAAACCATTTTGTCAAAACTTCAGAAATAATATCATATCTTCATGTTGTTAGCGTTGTCCTTGTATTTTGCTCAGAGCTGCAGCACTTTTGAGGTTAAGCTTCTGGCCACTTTTTGTAAATGCAACATGATCCTTCTAAAGGATAGGTCATGCAATATAACAATACTTCATACAAGTTTCAGATCCAATACAAAGAATGATAGTCATTACTTAATTGCCATAATATCCTTTTCTCCACACTCTAACCCATTTACTGTGTACTTTACATTTTGCCTAGTACATTCTACAATCTTTCTATTTGTCTCTGACTAAAACTGGATATAGGTAACTTTGTTTCACCATATTTTACATGAATCATTGTTTACCTTTCCTCCCTAAAATAACGGAAACTTTATACAGGGTGACTGGTATATGATTTTGCTATGCATATCTTTCTCTTTAACAGGTGAGTAAGGCATGGTATGCCATGGCAAACTCTAATAAGCTTTGGGGGTGGAAGTGTGAAGAAGTCCAAATCCTGGTCCCTATACCTACAAATCCGTGCTGGAAACACATCTACAGGGATAATATGCATCTAAAAATGAACTGGAACAGTGGCTCATGTCGTACACTGGACCTCAAGGGACATTCTGACACGTAAGTCAACAACTCATATATAAATTTGGCCAAAATAGTTAACACCTGATTTTGTGTCAAGTGAATTCAGAAAATTATCTGTGACATTTATTGACTGCACTGTCGCCTTCATCAGAGAAATGAAAAGTGTGAAGCGTATTTACAGTAAGGTATATACAGTGCATGAGATAGTAATAAAGTTACTGGACATTTTTGGTATTAGAATGACCTTAAGTGTATTTCTGAAACTTTCAGACTAATAGGTTCCTGAACTTTGCTCTTCTGACTTTGTTTATGAAGAGCAAATAGCATGTCTTCTTTACTACGTTATTTCTTTCTTGTACATTTTTTCCTCCTGGTGAAGATTGTATCATCAGTTTGATGGCAATGATGTGTTTAATACTGTGATCTACAATGTACAGCCATTGTATCAATACCTGGCCTTGGGTACGCTGTTTTCTTTTGCAGACCTCTTTTAGGATCTTCTATAGGAATGAATGCAACAGTATTCTATTAGAATTAAAGGATTTGTTCTCAGTGGATCTAAGAATGAATGACCACAAGTGAACACATTTTAAATTCTTAATACTATTTTGGAACACAGTGACCTTTATCCATATTTGCAACTGTCCTGTCTACATCCGTGTCACACCTGATTTTTCTTTCCATAACAAGCAAAGACTATACCAGAGCAAAGATTCCGGTGTTAGCTGATTTAAGTTTTGTTGTCCCTTTAAGTTTATATACATATGATCTTTTACAGCTGACTTTGTAGTAGATATGCCTTCAACATTAATGATTCTGTTTCAGAGTGGAGACAGTAACCTTCAACCACCGGTTGTTTGCAAGTGGTAGTCAGGACAGGACCATACGGATCTGGGATATAAAGACTGGGCGTCCTCTCCAGGTCCTTAAGGGACATGACAAAGGAGTATGGTGCCTCAACTTCTTCACAGAGACCCTCCTGGTCAGTGGGTCATATGATGGGACAATTAAGGTACTTACCAATCACTAAAATTTCTATTTCTTTAAATCTTCTTTATCTTAACGATGCCTTATAATATAGACTGAAATAAATCCATGAAATGTCTAAACATCTGGGGCAAAAGGAAAAAAAAATTCCTTTGTCACTGCTTGATAAGAAAAGTTTTGATAACCTGAGAGAAGAGACATCTTTTTTTACTTGAACAAAATATACCTAGCTTGTATACATACTGTTGTTATTAGGTGTGGAACCTACGGACAGGGAGCACTGTCCGCACCTTGCTTGCTCACGATGGTCCAGTGTGGGCAATGGTTCGACACAACAACATTCTAGTGACTGCTTCACAGGACAAGACGGTGAGTAAACAAAGTGGGTAACAGAACCTGGTGGCCCAACAATACTCAAAAATAATAAAATTCATAAAATGTATTTCATGGACTCTGTTGTCATACTTTACAGTTACTTTATTCCAGGTTTGCTTTGAATAGCAGTCATACTAAATGAGAAACGGGTCTTTTAAAAGTCCACTTTATCAGTATCTCTTATTTTCAGTGTTGTAAATTCTGGAGGATATTTTGTAAAAGATAAATGTGTTAAGTGTACAGTATATGGTGTAAATTTATACCAAGTTTGGTTAAAGTTGGACCAATTTGTCAGTGAATTTGAATGTAAATACTTTGTTGTAAAATGTTGACAATCACTAACAGAAAGTAATGTTAGTTTTACCTACACAACTTTTCATCACAAGGAAGATGAAAATCAGACTTACTGAACAGAGATTATACAGCAGGTCCTTTACACATTTGTCTATATGTAAGGTATTTATTGTCTCAGTTGATGTGTTGTTTTATGTACAGGCTAAAATTTGGGACATATCTCGATGTTACCTGATACACAACCTATATGGTCACACAGAGGCTGTGTTTGCTGTCGACCTAAGTGAAGATGGAACACTAACTATAACAGGTTCAGCGGACCGTGTAAGTTTTACAGAACATCGTGTTACATAGTACCAATCAAACTGACAAATACATTAACTGATCATAATAAAGTCACCTGGTCCGGGCACAAACCATCTTTGGAGTTTTTACTGTGAGAATATAAGTGATTCAGTTTCACTTTAGCTATATATATACAGGGAGGACTGGGGCACATAGTTTTACTCATGTATGTCTATCTCAGCACATCCTGTTCTTTAATCAGTGTCATATCACATGATCCTCTTAACTTTTTTATTCATATTTACCACCTAGAATCCTAATATCAAGTTCTGCATTTGATCAGATCCTTCTTTGCTGGGACCAGGAACATACATGTCTTATAGACATTTTCTAGTTCTTATCAAATAATCCGTATGAATTTTTCCACATCTCTCCTCCCATCAGACTCTGCGGATCTGGGACACACAAACAGGTGTTCAGAAGAAGATGATTTGGGTGAGCCAGAGTACCTCTATCATGTCTGTCAGCTACAGTAAGGGCTATGTGGCCTGTAGTTATGGTGAAACAATATGTTTGTACAGATTGGAACGACCAAAACTGATGAAGACATATGAGGAGCATGAAAAAAGGTTTGTGAAGAAACTATATTTTGAATGGTATTGGTCGGATCAAAAAATTGTGAATTGTTGGTCTATGAATAAATCATCACATCCTTAGGAACATATGTCACATACGTTTGAACTTATATGTATCAGCATAAAAGCTGATAATATTCTTAACATTGCATTGGAGCTTATTCATTTAGTCAATTGTGAACTTGGAACAACAACCAAAGGCCATATGGGTCTGAATCGCTCGCCTGTTCTACAACTTATGCAAAAGACTTTTTCTTAAGTATTCTGCAAACTTGGAAATCCTGTTACTCAAGCTTGCTGTTACACAAATTCCATGACCCAGGACCTAGTGATTGTTTTGAAAAAGGAAATTTTAGGTTTTTAACCCATTTGTCATCTGTGACCTTGAAAGTGGGTCAAGGTCGATCATTTGAACAAACATATATAAAAACTATATCTCAGCCTATTGAATTTTCTTATCCATCAATATTTGTCTAGTTCATGTTGTATATTTGTCATTATGTATTTCAGAATAGAGACTCTAGAACTAAAGATGGACGACACAAAGGAAGTGACTGGGACCATCATTAGTGCTGGTCAAGATGGGATGGTCAAATACTGGGACATACAAAAGTAAGACCCTAATGTCAGAAGGTGGTGTTCACGATAAGACTCCATATGTATTGCCTTCATTGAGGAATAATATGAAAATTACAAGACATATTACCTAGGTGTAACTAACAAGAAATTACATATTATTATAATTCATCTAATACATAATTAATTTTTTGCTGTTTTAATGCAAAATGCTGTTTCCTAACTTTTTTATTTATTCCTTGATGAAGAAAAATCTTGCTCTACCCACTTAATATTGATTGCAGGAGTGGGAAATCTCTTATGAACAGATATCCTAATGTCAAAACCTCACATCCTATGTATATCATAACAACATTGTAAACCACTTAATTTATTTTTCTTTGGCAACAGGGGCACAAGTGTGCGTACCTTCAAAGGACATGTGGGATCTGTTAAAAGTATTCGCTTTGATGAGTTAAGGATAGCAACAGGTGCAAAGGACAAAATTAGAATATGGGATTTCACTTACCAGGAAAAGAAAGAGACAAGAAACAGAACTGCTGATGATGACAGTAATATTTCCAAATCGCCCTCCAAAGATGTTCATTCGACTTCTGCAGGTTCAAATCAGGGGAAGGAATTCCCTGGAACTCCTAAATCAATCAAAATCAAGGTTCTACATGGCACTCCTGCAAACACTCCAAGGGAAAAGGAAGTTAAATCCTCTGGTTCACCCAGAGGAAAGGACACTCACAGAACTAGTAATAATCCTAAAGGATCTAAAGAAAATCACGAAAAATTGAATACATCCCTGGAAATGAAGGGAACTAGTAGTTACCCAAAAGAAACCAAAGGAACACCTGACAAATTGATGAAGACATCACAGGTCAAACCTTCTCTTCCAGAGGTCATAGTGACAGAAAGTAGATAATATGACTATTTGTCATTTTACTAGAAGATAATTCTATGTTCACAGTATGTGTCGCTTCTATATACACTAGAGGTTTCATGAAATTCAGTTCATTCAAATACAACTTGCATTAACTGTGATGATAAAATATAGTTCTTTTATCATAGTAAAGGACAAAATATATCATCTTAGGAAATGTTTATGTGGTACATTTTTGCCAGTTTTGTGTAAATGACCACTAGTCACTAAAAGTTAAACTATAGGGTTCTGTGATGAAGAGACCCAGTATTATTGTTGTCCAGACTGTTATCGCTTAGTTATAATCCTATTATCTGTCTCATAACTTCCTTTACTAGTACCACTAGAATATCCAGATGAGAATGCTAGGAAGTATTTGCACCGTGTTAACTTATCAGGCGGTACCTTGATGATCTACACATAATATTCAATGAATTTTACATGAAACATTAATATGTTTTTTCCCTGAGAAATCCTTTACTTTTTGACATTGAAAATTGTATATTTGTAAACACATACAACCAGCATTCTTTCTGTTGAAATTTGCATACTTTGAGCTGGTACACTGTTAAAATCTTCATGGTGTTATCACAAGCAGTGTCTTGTTTTATATGCTGTGTCTGGCACAAATGATGTATATTTTACAAGCATTCCAATGCTTAATATAATTAAATATGAATGGAATTATTATAGCAAAATGATAAGAAATGAGAGTAGGGATCTGTTTTAAGTGACAAAAAATCCCAGTAATTGATTATAATACAAAGCTATCTGTGATATTTTACATGCCTATAAACATTGTCTCTAAGTATTGACGAATTTGTGTTCAGTTTGTTGACATATTTACTGTTCGTGTCTTCCTGATAAAATACATGTCCCCTTAGGCTTTATTTATGATACTATATTTTATGTGTATTTGTGAATATTGATCTTCCTTGTGGTTGTTAGATATCATAAAATATTACATTTATACGCTGAAAAGTCATGTTTCTTATTTGATAAAATTTTGTATGTTTCCATTCATAGACAAGTAACATTCAACGTTTTTAGTTTAGCATTGATTTATTTACTTGTCTTTGAATGCATAGTTACACTGTGACGACACTCTGCAGATTTGGATGAAGAACATAAATATCTCGAACATGTTTGCATTTGGACGATCTGTCCTCACCGTTAACTTAGCAAACCAGTTATTATGGTAACAATTGTAAATATCCTGCTAGTTATACAACTTGCATGTTATACATACTCTCATGAAATTTGTTGAAAAGTGTAAGTCATAATCAAAAATAGGTTACAGGCCCAAGGTCAAGGTAACAAAGCTCTAAGTTAATGGTTTCATTAACTGGTTCATACTTTGTCAAGATAAAAAAAATAAAAAAAATTGAAGATTAATCTCAGCTGGTGAATGTTAAAGTCACAGAGGTGAAGATTACTGTCAGATTTTGTGTAGGGCCCTTGTTCAGCTGCAGAGGAAGTGACTTTGCAGGTGATTTAACTTGGTATGCTGTATTTTCACAGTAAACATAGATAACGTTTTATAAAAACAAGTAAGCTGTTGGCATATAGGCAAATACAATGTCAGTGTAATGAACCACTCATTTCTTTAAAAATGTATTCTCTTGATATCTAAAGTTATTTTCTGAAGCTAGATTGGCCCTTTTTTCTACCTTTGACCTTTAGATAAGAAACATTTCCACAGCGTTCTCATCAACTCTTTTGGGTAGAATACAGAAAGGGACACTTCAATCATACCCATTTACACTTGTCGTTTCATTTAAAACTTGTTTGCATGAAGAATATTTGTGAAGGGAGATGAATGGAACAGTGACTGAACAAGAGAATAAAGCTGAAGGGCAGTATTTCAGTCTTTTAATCTGGAGAGTTTTCCTTAAAATCTGTTATGCTCTATTCATCTAGAATTTAACAATCCAACTTTTGATCTGAAGATATCAAATACTAAGGACTTTGTATGAATAGAATGTCTGCCAATCATCAATGTTGTAATCATTTTCATAAAAAAAACATGGAAATCTATTTGTGTATCTACTGATATCAAAACAATACCATTGTTCATATTCTCTATTTCAGATAACTTAGGAGAGTTGTGATTTCCTGTATATTAGTGTGTACATCTGTGATAACACACCATATATACTTGAAGTATCAACTCTACTTATCATGATTTTTTAACACATATCACTTGATGGTTGAATTCACATCATTACACAGTTACTATAAACACATACCTGGCTGTATTTTATACTATAATACTCAGGTAATATGTACTAAGAGAGAGAATTTTCAGTGTGATGAGTCAGGCGATACCTTTCAAGCAGCATTATATAATCTTGCCAAGTGTCTTTCACCTTTTATGTATATCATGATAGTTGTTACACTAGTATTTATTTATTGCACAGTTATATGTTTATATATATAAGCTGTTATGTCTTGTCACTTCTCTGGTTCTCAACCAATAAATTATGATATGTCCATGGCATGCTTTTGTTTATTCTTCTACGCTCTACATTTACTAAAGAACAAGGCTATTATACTATATGGTGGTTGGGCATTATATGGTTATCACAGTGGACATTCACAGTCTGTAGTGATCACACTCTGCCAACACACACTGTAGCTACAACACACTACACATCACACCCTGTAGCTACTACACACTACACATCACACCCTGTAACTACTACACACTACACATCACATCCTGTAGCTACTACACACTACACATCACACCCTGTAGCTAACTACACACTACATATCACATCCTGTAGCTACTACACACTACACATCACACCCTGTAGCTAACTACACACTACATATCACATCCTGTAGCTACTACACACTACACATCACACCCTATAGCTAACTACACACTACATATCACATCCTGTAGCTACTACACATTACACTAACTACACACTACATATCACATCCTGTAGCTACTACACACTACACATCACACCCTGTAGCTACTACACACTACACATCACACCCTGTAGCTACTACACACTACACATCACACCCTGTAGCTATTATACACTAACATCACACCCTGTAGCTACTACACACTACACATCACACCCTGTAGCTACTACACATCACACCCTGTAGCTACTACACATCACACCCTGTAGCTACTACACACTACACATCACACCCTGTAGCTATTATATACTAACATCACACCCTGTAGCTACTACACATCACACCCTGTAGCTACTACACACTAAACATCACACCCTGTAGCTACTACACACTACACATCACACCCTGTAGCTATTATATACTAACATCACACCCTGTAGCTACTACACATCACACCCTGTAGCTACTACACACTAAACATCACACCCTGTAGCTACTACACACTACACATCACACCCTGTAGCTATTATACACTAACATCATACTCTGTGCCCATTGCACATGTATACTGGACGTCACATTCTGACCATTAAACATGTACTAGAGGACATCAAACTCTATGGCTATTACACACTGCTTTAGTCAAACTCTTAGTAGAGTTGTGATAACTACAGTTGAACAACAGATATTTGCCCATAGATATCAAAGGAGGGGTGTGGGGGTGCCAGTCACACTCTAGCTATTACACCCTGCAGCCATCACTCCAGTTGCCATAATATCCTGTAGCAATTACAAACAGGACATGACAACATATGGCCATCACACTATGTCATCATTACCTTGTACATTTGTTGTCATTATACAAGGATTGTTACACATTGACTTGTGGATCATTACTCTCTCACATCGGTAGATCTATCGGGTTAGGTTTCTAGTCGTCACCCATGTCATGGCTGTCAGGAGAAAAATGTAATCAAACATTGTATAGTTCACAGATTCCCAACAGAAGTATAGAATTATATAGAAGAATTCATGCATTCCCTACAGGAGAATTGACTTGTTTAGAATAATTTACAATGGCCAACATACAGGAAATGCAGCTAGTTTTGACATCAGGCCATACCGAGTAAAAACCGTGATTGTGATGACTTGCTGCTTTCTTCAAGAATATTTAGGATCGACAAATGCAACCTGTATATAGACTTACATCCAATATATTTCGTAAGAATTCAATAATCATTTGAGTATGATTGCTGTGATAACGTCTTAAATAACTTCTAATAATCTTTTTGAACTTGCTCAGTTGGGTTAAGATCAGTTCACAAAAAATCTCAAACAACAGATCAGTGCACAGTGGATGTTTATTGTTTATACCACATTTCAAAAATAACATTTAAAAAGACATTTCTACATATCTAAAATTTAGAAAAATGCATTCATCAATATATTTTTAAGAATGTGCTTGATTTCATGATGCAATCAGTGAATGTTATAAGATGAAACCCTTCACATGGTCTTAACATGCAGATTGACAATTACCGGTACTGTTATAAGCAGCTATATCAGATAATATATTTCTTTTTACAGTACTGTTGCTATTAAGTCTTATTTATCCTCCATAATCAGTCTATAAAAGAATTTTTGTGAAGACAAATTATGATATTTACTGTAACGACAAGTCATTGTCCATGAAAATAATTTTAAATGAAATTATTCTGAGGAATGACAATGCATCAGGGTTCTCCACTGTCACAATAGGTAAAGTGTAATTTTTTTCAGCACCAAATCATTGGAACACATGATAAAAGCAATAATAAAGTTAGTGTCAGACATTTTGTAGATATCGTCTAGATACACAATAATTCAATGTAAAAGCACAAATCTACATACCTGAATGAATACAATAAGTTGAACGCATAGAGTAAGTTTTTAAACCTTTGCTCACAACAATTAGTGGACCATCAAGTTTTAACAGCAACTATTGAGGTGGTCAGTCCTGCTGAATATTGATCTTAATTGGTCCCTTCAACTTTTAATAATTAAGTTTTACTCTTCTGAAATCTTAAAACAGGAGTAAAGAATGCATTAAATCACAGTTTGTTTCATATATTTGGCACATTTATAGCTAATAAAAGAAGAATGCTTGTACACAGGTAGTATGTAATATATCATATAAATATCAGTACTACAGTATCAGTATATCTATTCCACTCAATTAAGATTTGTATGTTTGGATGTACCATGCTTATCTAGACAGTAGCATACATTTTATTTCCTAAGCTCTCTAACAGAAGTAATAATCCAGTAAATAATGCTTTTAATCTAACATCCTTTATATTGTAGCCTTTTGTCAAGAGAACCAAAGCATTCTTAAGGAGAAACCCTTTCCCTACATTGCAACACTTTACACTTTCTGTGTTATTCATAAAAGAATAGCTACCAGTTAACAGCAGAATTTTTTTTTTTACAGAGTACAAAAATTAGCTGCAGAGATCATCAACAATATACATTATATATATTACTGGTGTGATTTCTTTTTAAAACTATCCACTAAAATATTTATCACTCTATATAATAAAGAGTATTGTTTCATTCAAATTAGAAAATAATATCACACAATAAATGATATGACTCCCAAAAATATTTTCTGCAATTTAAATTAAATGCAAACCAATTCAAAGATAAGGGAGATAATTTGAAGTATAAATCAATGTCAATAGGGACATCATGTAAAAAATCCTTGAAACTCCAAGGGTTGCAATCATTTACAATCTCTGTAAGATGAGATAACCAGGACCTGGAATGTAACCCTTGAATTTTCAAAGTCATTATGTAGTAATGCACATACATTTTATGATACATAGAAAGGCAACATTGGTTTGAACTACAGTATTAAATGACTAAAAGAAAAAAAAGTTATTGTCACTATTCCTTGACTAAAAGCTCACTCAGCAAGGCTAAAGACATATTTCAATGACATAATACATGTATCATAACACAAAACACAACACCATATCAATCTTAGATACCAAAGTATATAGGCATTATCACTTGCAACCATTGGTGACTGAACTATATCTGATAGTGATGTCATTAGCTGCATTAAATATCACTTCCTATTATCTATATGGTTACTGGAATGAACTGTAGGTATAGGTAAACATTGATATCAATATGTGAACAAGTAATGCAGATTTGTGTACAGTAGCTACCACTGGGATACAGGACTCAGTTTGCCTAGTTGGATCAGGGTTGGATGTATATGAAATAACAGGTGGACATACTGATAATTTTTTTCACTTTCCGAGAAGATTTGACAAAGCTTTTTGAGGCATTTATTTATATCTACAGGGCTGTCCTGATTTAAATCCTAAATGATACTTTTAAAATGGGGACAAACCAGCAACAAACAGAACTCCAGGTATTGACCATAAAGTCATTGACACAGTAAACCATAACAGTTATTTTATAATCAAAGAAGAAATTTGGCCATTGATCAACTACAATTTCTCATACATAGTACCATACTGTTTTTTTGGCATGATCATAAATTATCATATATTAAATCATTTATTCACTGTATGTACAAAAGCCATTGCAGCCAAACATTCATTCCTCGCATACCTAATGCCTTATAATTGTTGCCAAGTATTTATTCTTAATCTTTATTCTCTGTTTGATTTTCAGCTTCTCTCCAAAACACAAATATGCAATATATTTTCATAATTCTCGGTACTGTTGGCTCTGTGAACAAATTTGACAAGTTGTTTTATTATTCCTAAGTATCTTTTCCAGATGTCAGAAACTCAGTCCACTTCCACATTTTGAAGATATTTTCTGTCTCAGAGAATAAAAAGTTTACAGTCCGCTACTTCATCCCCAGCCTGGATATAGTTTCTCTGCCTCCCCATTCACAAATCTGAAGTCCTATAATACTGAACATTGTACTGCTCATCATCAGATATCAATTCAAATGAGACAGTGTTTTTGTCATCTCATTGTCATTGACAATTCACCCCCTTGGGGACAAATCTTCTGTCCGCCATTGTAGCAGCGTATTTATAATATCCGAGTAATACTCAAAAAACACTGATCGATTATAGGAGATAAGACGTAAGAACTGACCACAAACCTGGCCTAATTCTTCTTCTACGACGGAGAACCCCACAGGCATCTGTAAAGGCTGAGTGTGCTTCTTGGAAATTATTTGTTTGATGAACTCCTTTAACCTCTTGGCTGAAATAGAAGAAATTGGAAAATTTCATTTCTCTGGACAGGATTAGTAATAGCAACTGTTTGATAATCATTTATTTACATTTCTATCAAATCACTTGAATTCATGATTCACTGACTCATTGTATCAATTGTCCAAAAGACCTGTGAACCATTTATAATGCTAATAAAATTTAACGTGTCTAATGAAAAAAAAATGTTGCAAAGCATGAGTTGTATCATTTGATATGATGCAAACATTAAGGGGACTGTCATATATATTAGATTATAACATTACAAGTAGTAATGCTGTATGACATGGACTCAAATGAAAGATAACATTAGTGATAAATTCATATCGTCAATAGTGAAAAACATTACTAATGGGAGTAACATATGGCAAATAAGACCATTTGATAATAAATGGTGTGCTATACTTACCCACTAATTTGTACACAGGGTGGTCATGGCTGGACACTTGCTTAATCTGACCAGTCAGCATTGCCTGCTGGTCAGTCCCCCATTCCTTAAATCCATGTTCTGGCATGTATTCTCTCACTGTTTTGTTGATTTGCTCAGCAACATTTGTCATCTTATCATTAAGGTCACTGAAATAATCAAATGACAAAGTCAAACAGTTAAATCAGGAACATTTAGAGCTTAGAAACAGTTACATGTAACAGGCCGGGTAAAAATAAGACTTTCTCTGCTATTCAAAGAGAGTTGTCAATTTCGGACACAACAACAACATTATTCAACAGATTTTTGTAAGGATAATCATAAATGATTTCTGTATAATCCATTTGTCTTTGTAGAGATTATCATTAGAGATTTCTATATAGCCCACCTGTCTGCCACACCCTCTAGAATCACACAGATCTCAGATTTCAGTTTCTTCTTCAAGTCCTGGACACCAGAGATAGCTGCTCCCACAGTACTGTAGGTCACCAGTAATATTGAGGCCACCAGGGTCAGACGACCTGTCTTGTCCTGGAGGTCCATAAACCGACTCTGATCCATCACAAGTGTCTGGAACATAGTAACACAAGAGTGTTTACAGTGCTATCATTTTCAATTGTTATATTTCACAAGTTAGTGAAAATAAAAAGATGAAATCTCAACTTTAAATAACCTTCAAATAAATGCTTTGTGAAATTTATTCATATTTTAAGCAAAAACATGTACATTCATACTGTAATTTGCACTGATTGTTTGTTAAGTGTGAGAGTAACAACCTCTTTTTGACCCCATACATCTAAATAGTTTGACATATCGATAAGCTTTTCATTATCAACTGTCTTTTCATGATGGTGATTACAGGCTGTCCAGCACTTCTTGACAAAAAATTAGGGCTAAATTTAGGGCTAAAATTACGAAATTTTTGGGCAAATTTAGGGCTAAAATTAGGAATTTTGTAACTAGAATAGGGAGTATGAAAGCATTAAACTGACTTACCTTTTGCAAATTTGACAAAATAGAACCTAACATACAATGCCTTAATTGCAGGAAAGGTGTCTTCCAGGGTTTCAGTGTCCCAGCTGCTGTTGGCTGTGACCTTAAGAATCACACCTCTGTCACTCAGTCACAACCAATAACAATCTGGGTACATAGATCCACTGGTCAACTGCCTTTCATTGTCTACCCTGAATTAGAACTATAGACTACATTAAAATACATTTTAAGTATGAATTTAATGAAAACATTTTCAGTAAATTGTAAGAAATATAAAAAAAGTAGGAACTGAAGTGAAAAATTAGGGCTTTTTTAGGAATTCCCTTTGAATTTTTCATTTTTTTAAGAATTTTAGCAAAACTGAAAAAAATTAGGATTTTTTTAGGAATTTTAGGGACACTGGACAGCCTGTGATTAAGTACTAATTGGAAAATAGCTAGCTCAAAACTGTTTAAAAAATTTTAAAAAACATTTGATTTTGGACACCTCAAACAGTAACACCCATCAATTTTCTATCATCCTCCCTAGGTCCTGCTGAACAATCTAAAACCTTCTAGGATCCACCACATATGCTTAATATTATCCAACATAGTTGTAACCCTCACCTCTGGGTAAAGTCTCTGTCTGTCCCAGTTCAGCAGCTCCGTGTAAGCCTCATTTAACACGGATGCTGGGGTCAAACTGGGAGTAGCACCGGCTTGTTGGTCAGTGTCTGCCTGGTCCGTCAGTGCATCGAAACTCCTCTTGAGCCATAGTTTGGTCATCTCAAGACCATCTACACCCGCTTCTGCAATAGAATATCCATAACAACGTCAATACTTGTTGGTTATCAGCTCAATGTTACAAATCAATCTTATCTACACCAGATATGCAAACTTTAGCTTACTTTAAACCCAAGTTTTTGCATGAAAATTCATGTTAGGATCTCATAATATCATAAAATGTGTAGAAAATCATTGCCTTGGAAAAATATCACTGGTGCAAAATTACCTTAGGCAAAAGATTTCAAAAGATATTGTTGGAAGGCTAGAATAAATGAAGATTAATATTCACTGGAAAAAGACCAAGAAACTGACTATTTTGATCCCCTTCAGCAATCTCTTATCAGAATATAAGGGAGAAAAGAACAAGAATTAAAGGGTCAATTTTTGTTAATGAAAAAAAAATCAACCACTCCCTTAATTTATAATGTAATTCTTTCTTCAGGCATAAAAATAAATTTTCATATTCATAGTGAATAGCGATAACCATAAATCAGATTTAATTGCTGACCCTGCTGTGCTTTGATGAACTGAAGAAATTTGGTACGTTCATACTCCACTGATTGTTGCTGTAGATATGGTCTGATCTGTTGGATTGTAAAGTTTGCCATATCCATCTTCATCAGGTCCAGAACCTGAAATATCTCCCTATAAAACAAAACATATTCCATTTATATGCACTTTTTGACAACTCATCACTCAACATAAAATACATCTTTATCATACAAAAAAGTCTTTCAAATCTAAGACGACACCTGCCTTCAAAATCTTTCAAAGGGAGATTACTCAAGAGACTGACAGCTCTCAATATACAAATAACATCATTGGCATCTGTCAAAATATCTAAATGGACGTATACATCAACGTTCTACAGAAATAAAAAACGAGAGATCCCAGAGGGATCTTGGTGCCCACCATTTGAGGATCTGTTTTCAGTTCTTGAAGATTTTTTTTTTTTTTTTGTGTTACAGGTGTTGTAAATGTTCATGAACTGGTCTTCATTGAATGTACTCAATGATGGCACAAGATATTTTTATTAAGCACCTATTAGCAAATATCATTTCAAAAAGATCCCAAAGTATTATTAGATAGCAGTCAGTTACAGGTGGATAATGGACATAGTCTTGAATCAATATGATAGAATATCGAAGAAAATATGCTTGTGCTGTATTACTGTCGACATCCAAGATGGCTGCCTGTGGGCCAACTTGATTTCAAATCAGTCCAAAAAAAGTACAATGCACAACTAGGGACCAAGGGAAACCATTACCTATGAAATATCAGAAGTATCCATCCAGTACTTCCTCAGAAATAACGGTAACAAGATTTTACTCTCAAAATCCAAGATGGCTGCCTGTCAGCCATCTTGATTTCAGATCAGTCCAAAAAGGTACAATGCACAACTAGGGACCAAGGGGAACCTGCACATGAAATTTGAGACAGATCCATCCAGTACTTTCCCAGAAATAGCGGTAACAAAATTTTACTTTCAAACTCCAAGATGGCTGTCTGTCGGCCATCTTGAATTTGAATCAGTCCAAAAAAGGTACAATGCACAACTAGGGACCAAGGGGAACCTGCATATGAAATTTGAGAAAGATCCATCCAGTACTTTCCAGGAAATAGCAGTAACAAACTTTTACTTTCAAACTCCAAGATGGCCGCCTGTCAGCCATCTTGAATTTGAATCAGTCCAAAAAAGGTACAATGCACAACTAGGGACCAAGGGGAAACTGCATATGAAATTTGAGAAAGATCCATCCAGTACTTTCCCAGAAATAGCGGTAACAAGAATTGTTTACGGAAGGACGGACGGACGACAGACCACGGACGCAGGGCAATTTGAATACCCCACCATCTGATGATGGTGGGCTAACAATCCTAAATCCTGGTATTATTGCTAATGCTAGATCCCCTTATGGAGTACTCACTTAAACAATGGCACAGGCTCTTTTATTTCACGGAGGTGTGCCACTCTTTCATCTCGTTCTGGAGAACATAATTTAGCCATAATGTTGATAACATAATTGGCATAATAGAAAAGGTCAAATGCATCATTCTCCATCTTCTGTTTGATCAAGTCCAAGTCCAATACCTCAGTAATCTGGGCTTTCAGTCGCACCTGGTGAGGCAGTATCACCGAAAATAATTGCTGCAAGAATGAAAAATACAAAGTTTTACAAAAAACTATTCTGTTTAGAAATCATTATATGCCTTATTCATTGTTTAGTATAAATATTTCATTTTAAAGTAAAACATTGTCCTTAGTGGTAAAACCTTGTGTCTTTGACATTCACAGTAACAATATCTCTGCGGTGATGTGATAGAAACTCTAGTACCAAGTAATATCACATTCTTTGGTAATGTGACACTAGCAATATTCCACTGTAGTTATGTCACCGGTAATGATGCCACATCCTTCAGTAATGTCACATTGTTGTGATGCTGAAATGTGGTGAAATTGCAGTTTGTAATTATCCTACAATCTGTAATGATGTCACACTAAAGTTATGTCACACTCTGTATTAATGTCATCCTATGCAGTAACATCACATTAGGCAGTGACATCACTCTTCATAGGAATGTCACATTTTATAGTAATGTCACATTCTGTACAAACGTAACAACCCAGTTTTGTCACATTCTGTAACGATGTCAGACTCTGTCACAATGTCACAATCCAGTTATGTCACATTCCGTAATGGTGTTAGACTGCCACAATCCAGTCATGTCACAATCAATAATGATGTCATCCTTTAGCTGTCATGATGTCACAATCCACAGTGATGTCATGAGACAATCTGGATTTGATGTTACACTTGTAAGTGAGGTAAGACTCTGTAATTGTATCTCAGCTTGCTATGATATCACACTCAGAAATCATGACACACTCTGTAGAGATATCACTCTGTAATAATGCCATATATTGTGGTGATTTCATAAAAATGACTCACCAGGTAAGAATGTCACATTGTTATGATGTCACACCCTGTTAAGAATTGTGATGTCATAATCTGTAGTTATGTCACACACTATACTGATGTCGCACTCATTAGTCAAGCTAACATTCAAACGCAACCAGACAAATTGTGATTCAACACAGACTTTGTATTTACCACCAAAACATTCTATTACATTGTACTGCTTAATATAAAAGAGTAACTTCAATGTCAACTATTAAAATACAATGGATATATAGCCTGGCACAGTACATATATACCTTGGTATATCAGGCATAATCTGTGTAAACAGATTTGAATTCCAGGTAACTTACCTTCTGGACATCCCCAATAAGGACTAAAGCATGACTGTAGTTTGGAGGATCTTCACTGATACTTTCCTGGAATACGTCCCAAAAGGCTTTGTGCATGATCATCTCCACTTGCTTTTCAAAACTGTAAATATGTCACAGGAGTAATGTTATTTACAAAATGACTCAAGTACATCCCAGGCAGTACTTGTTTCCATTAACACATTGACTAAACAAGTTAAAAATATGAAACTTCAGAAAATTGAATTGCCAATGGATTGAGTGTCCACAAAAAGACACCTGAAACACTCAAATGCTCTAGAAATTCAGGATGAATATTATAACCAACAAATTTGACGTTATATGATTTAAAAAATAAAGACATTCAATGGCTATATTTGACCTTTTCGGATCCTTTTCTGCAGGAGCTATCTTGAAATTTGCATCTACGGCTATTTCATGTGCAAGACTCATATTCTTTACTCCAGTGGTTGCCTTGATGAGTTCCTCCATTGAGATGAATTTAGGTGGTGAGGCTGTAAAATCAACATAATATATGTACAAAGAGCTCGACAACAAAGCAAGATGATATGCTGTTTGCATATGTAAGTATACAGTTTATTTGACAATTTATCATGGAACAGGTATGGTAATACAAGTAACATGAAAGGTAAAATTACAAATAAAATCATGAAACTTTTTAATCTAATTTTGTAATAAGGTACAACTTTTATAAAGCAAATTATGACATCCTGTTTTTACAATATATAAAATATATATATATATATACTGTATAACATATTTAAACAATGAAGACTACCATAAAGCCATAATTATTCTACCTGGTACTGAAAATGGTGATGCTCTACGTGGACTGGGAGTTTGTGTACGTCTCTTTTTGATATCCTGACCCTCCTCACTGCCAGTGCTAGTCATGGATGAGTTAAGTTCATCCTCATTTTCAGAAGGAACTTCATCCAAAGGGAGATTCAACTCATCCTTGTTTCCTTTCTTTGCCATCTTTTACCTCTGAAAAGGCAACTTAGAACACTGAAAAAGGAAGACAAGAATGTACAGAAATCATTGTCAAACATACATTCGCTGTCTTGTTGTATTTTACTTACATACCCATATATAGAGAAAACATTATTAGTGCCTTAAAACAGAAGATGTAATTTGGTGAGGTTATGATAATAATATAAGACTTTATTTCATGAGGATTTAAGAGCCTGTTTAGCCAAGAAGAAAGACAAAAGTGTATATCCTCTGGCAAAACCATTGTCCCAAGTCAAAATGCAGCTTCACTTTTATCCTGAAACACTGACTAAAAATTCAGATTATTGAAACTTAAACAGTTTGTTGTTCAATCTTTTTGTATTGCATACTACCAGCGGTATGTAGTACAAATTCAGTGTGACTCTTGTTGACAAGTGATAACAATGCACCCTGCATACCTGAAACAAACTTTGTTTGTTGATGTTAAAAGGATATATTTAATGTGTGTGTAGTTCCATATCAACTACATGAAAGCCTGTATTGGAGATTTTTCATGTTTTACTATAATCACGTTACTCAATATGAGAAATCACTTGGTTCATCAACCACCTCCTGAAATCAGCTTTTGTAGAATTTGAAAGAATGTTCTGCAATTAATTTGATTTAATTTAATTGACAACTTGAGACTTATTCGTTCACAGATCAGTACACTTATAATGTGGGGGAGGGTAGGATGGACTGAGAACATGATAAGATATCTATGACTATATTATTTTTCGTTGCATACAGTTAACTTAATGTTTGTATTATTTCGCCGCACAAAGTAAATTAATGGAATTTAATTGCCATTTTCCTTTTGGCGGTTTAAAATCTAGTTAATTGTGTAAGCAGAAGCTTAAATATATATGAAACGGGTTTCTCAAAAATATTAATTGCAAAATAAAACAAAAGAAAAATATATTTCACAGTATTGAACCAAACAACTTACAATGTTCATTCCATTTTTCGTACTTAACGTTGCACTATGAAAAAATATCAATTGTTTTCGCTGAGATGTCTCTGAACGCGTACGTTAGTCTCATCATGCAAGTTTTCCAAAGGATGCTGGCTTCATCCACATTCCGTTACAAAGATACAAATTAGGCTACTCACCGCCAGACTTGAGAATTCTCTTGGAGTCAATGAAATAATTTGTTTTACTCAGCCAAACCTGGGGGAGCGCAATGTCATCACAGATTTTTTTGGTTCAGAAGTATCTAGAACAGCGGAGAAGAGTGCCGTGACAAACTTCTTTGTTTACGGAAATGACATCATGCGTCTAAAAATGGAACCGTAATGTCAGATGAACATAGTACATTTTTATTGTGACCCTTCAAATCATTTCAATAGTATTAAGCTAACACATGCACTACATTTTTTATGTCGTTTATTAGTCACTCTTATGCTGTAAATACTCATATATAAGACTTCGGAATACATATTTGATGATAAATGCATTCCGGAAATATATCCCCTTTAGATTTAGAATATTTCAGAAATATCCGCTTATTTTCAAGAGCGCAGTATTTGAAAGTTCTAAACCTTGGTATTTCTGAAAGCGCAATTATGGGAGATGAATTGGAGTATTTCATGCATACAGAAGATGAAAGACTGAAATCTTTCAAGAAATGGCCATTTAAGACAGGAAGTTGTTCTCCAGCTAAGGTATAATAGCGCTAACATGAGCTTAGCTTAGCTTAGTTGTTCCTGAACGCAGGCCTTATGCCTCTATGTTCAGATCCGAAACCTTGTCACACTCCATCGGTTAAAGTTGTCACTTCTGGTTGGAATAAAGATGGTATATGTTCTATCCAAACTTTTCCAATATCTATCGAGCCTATTTTCAAATGAGTTCAAAGTTGGCACCTGTACTATATCTTGTAGAGAGTTCCAATCATTTACCACCATTTGAGAGAAAGAAAAAAAAAATCCAGACGTTATCTAGCTTTTTCCAGCATTATCGGTGACAGAAAGACGACTCCATGCTTCGCGACACCACCACTTAATAATTTCGCTCCAACGGTCTGACCTTCCAAAATCTTAAACTCTTCTCATTGTACATGAAACTACAGCATTCCATTTTTGCTGTTATCTCCAGTATTTGGTTGTAATGATATGCTCTAGCTGTTTCAATATAAAACACTTCAAGAAGGAGAAAAGAAAAAGCTACCAGACTAGCGATCGCATACTCTGAAGATGGACATTCTGCTACTTGACTGATGTGAAATTAACATTTGCCAAGGCTACTACTTGTAGAAAATTTTCTGAGCTGCCTATAGAGGACCATAAAAAGGTCCTGCAGGTGGATACAACATAAGTAAATATAAGTGACAACTATTATCAAGTTTTAATATCTCCAAGGAAACCTCTCACATTCCTATACCTTCTACCCATGAGGTGATCAATCTTTGGCATGAAATATATGTAATAATTGAACTAATGACCTTTTCATGCACTTTCAAGGCACACTGCAATTTTACCAAATGGGTATTCACCCAAGCTGAGGCTAGTGAGGTGACCTGTTCTCTCTACTGTAACATTATAATTAAATAAAGGAATGTCAACATCCATAGATGTCAGGACTGTACAAGGCTCTCCCACAGCATCGTTTTTATACTTTTTACATTAGTAATATTTAATGATAAGTTCAAAAGGAACTTGTACAGTGCAACTGCAATACAATCGTGTTATCCGATCAAGAGAGTCGAAGAAATTGTAAGGTGCTGCAGCATGGATTTTTCTTGATGATAAAGGAAAAGACATGTGATGTTATCATGATAATCAGGAAGCTGTTTGCCTTTATTTAGCATCTGTTTTGAGTGATCAGGCTAAGTGGTGTATTGTATCCTATCGAAGAAGCTGTTTTATCCAAAATTATATTGAAATGCAAACACTGATTCTACTGATTTGATTTTTTTACCTCTACTCCATTATAATTTCACATGTGTACATGTACATGGCCCCATTATATATAACATCATATGATTGGATTTAGTTATGACTTTTTTTTGTTTAGTGAAAATTTGTAATTCATTGTCTTTTTCCTTACATGAAACACATTTGAAAACAACTACCTATGGTTTTCTTGACCATCCAAAAAAAAGAAGACACACATGTGGGAATGGAGTAATCTTTGTTTATATTTTTTTCTGGTGCAAATAAAAATCAACATTGGATCATTATTTTTACTTGAATATTCTTTTTGTTGTATAGTAGTGATATGGTAATGGCTTTTAGAATAAAACGAAAAAGGTGAATATAGTCAAAAATAAAGCTACAATCAATTTCATCACCTCTGAAAAATCCATTTTCTTTGCTTAAGCATTTGGTCAAATTGCAAAAAATTGACATATTGAGAAAGAAAAGCTTTACGATACATTGTATATAGATATTAGAGTGGCAGAAAAAGAACTACATACAGTAGCTTCAATTCAGATTGTAAAAGAACTTTTCATGACATTTACAATGTGCTTTTACTCTGCTTTGGAAATATTTCTATAATCGTCTTAGATGATGCCTAATGTTTTTATTTAAATGTGTTGTAAATTTTACATTTTTTGTGACTAAATCAATCATTGTTACAGATGGCTGCTGCTGGGTTCTACCATTGCCCAACTAAAGAAGCACCAGACGCCTGTAAATGCTTTGTATGTTTCAAGGAACTGGAAGGATGGGAGAGAAATGATAATCCATGGTAAAAAGCATATCTCATATTCATAAAGCACCACACCAAATGCCACCAAGTGATACACCTCGCTTTACAATAACCTAAATTAAAGTAGGGTACCCCGTACTCTAACAAAACACAAGTTTACCTTGCAACCTAAAGCAGTGACTGCACATGTATTACCAATATTGATAAATTATACACATGCTCATACTGTATTTAAAAATGGTGAAAGTTGGCAAGCTTCAGGAACAATTTGAGGTGGTATGACATGTAGGCAAGTAGCTGCACATTTTAATGTCAGCCGTTCTGTCATTTCTCTGTTGATGCAGCATCTCAAGCCAACTGGGCATGTTGATGAGTTTTCTGGGTCTGGTAGACCTTAAAAGACTACAGATAGATAAGATAGCCTTCTCTGTAGACAGGCAAGGTGAGCCTCATTCACCACTGCCAACAGACTCGGAGGACTGCAGAATGTCAATGTGTGCGTTGGCCAGCATATCGTAAACAGACATTTGAACTAAAGGCAATTTTTCTCTCCCGACCAATAAAATGTCCTCTGTTGACTGAAAGGCACAAACAAGCAAGACTGCAATGCGATCAGATCATTTGATCTTTAGTTGCTCTGCATTTCTATGCCTATCCATTGATAGATTGGCTTATCCTAATGGATGACAAATGTCAAACCACTCTGAGTCCATCTAGTGCAAACCATCTTCAGCAAAGAAGTGATAGAGACACTTTCATTGCCTGCAATATCACCAAACATGAATCCCGTTCAGCATATGTGGGACTATCTCAGTCAAAAATCCTTACTCAGGAACCAAACTGCCAAACAGTTACTGGCTGTATTGATTCAGGTGTGGTAGAAGTTTCCTCAGAAGAAGTTTTGGTGTCTGATCAATGATAGGAGATGACGAGAGTATTGTAAGAGTAGTATGGCTATTTCCAATGCTGACATTTTCATACTCGTTGATTAGTGAATCTTTTTGATTAAGGATGATGTTTTTTATGACATATTTGTTGATTATTTTGACTTTGGTAATGCCTTTTTGAGGAAGTCTTTTTAAAAGGATACAGTACTTTCGATTCTTTGAATTTCTTTTTCTATACACTGTGTGTGGTTTTCTTAGATTCCTGAAAAACATACTTTTCACGTCTAGTAGTCCTGAAATGATGAAAAGATAGAACATTACCATTGCGTCACTGGACCACCCCAACAAGTTTCTCTTCTGAATAGTTATAAAGGTAATATAGAGTTGGATGATACTGTCTGAATAAATACAGAAGACACCACACTTTTAGAATGATGTTATAAGCAACATGTATAATTTTATTTTCTTTTTAAAGGGATGAGCACAGGAAGCATTCTTCATCATGCATATTTCTAAACTTGGACAAACCAGTTGAAAAATTCACCATGGAGGAATTTATTCGCTTGTTAATGCAGATCCAGAAGAATCAAATGGTTTGTATTTGTTGTTAACAATGAATGTTCCATAGTTTACATGAAAGGTCTTACATGAGTGTCAACGTAATTTGGAATTTATTGAACAAATTCAATAGGTGAATTTAAATAAATTCCTTAAAACATTGGCATCAATGTAAGATTCTATTTGTCATATAACCTGTAATTCTGAAAATAAGTGAAAACTCTCAGATTGATTTCTCTGTAGGACAATTTCATTTCGACACAGACCATATATTTATATTATATAATGAGACAATGATGTGACATCATTAAGGCCTGACTTATTTATGATGTCGTAAAAGTGTCATTTTACATGTGTCCTATGATATTTATGACATGGATGTGTGACATTACCCAACAGGTCAGTTATGTGATAAATAAAATGTCATACATGTGGCACAACATTCTAGAAATACTTGAAAATTTATTGACTGTTTCACCTGCATCAAACAGATAACCGTTGCATTGTCTGTATACTCAAGTATATAGTGTAAGGGATGAAAATCAAATAGACATGTTTTGTTTTTGAACATAATAAATCTGTTGAATTTACCAAATAGCTAAATTCTATCAAAAAAAGTCTTTTAGGTTCTGCTTTGAAAAGAAATACAGATATTAATGAAAATAAAGATCAGTGTATTGGAAAGTTGATTTTGTGTGATTCAGTAGCAGGTCATCAATGTTTAAAGGTCTTGGCTGTCCTCTTCTCTATTCATTATGTCCAAACAGAACTAAACCAGATGGATTTATCTAGCTGTTGCATATTGAACCTAGTTATTAACTTGATTTGATTGTATCTGGGAATTCTGACCACTTCTTTCCACTCCTCTGATATGTTCTCTGAGTGACTTAGTCACACAAGTAGAAATATTATCATTACACAATAAATAACTGATCGCTCCAAGTCTATCTACCTGTCTATGATTGTATTATATGCTTTTATTAGCATATCATTAGACATGTTCAATGGATCATATTTTTCATATTTAGGTTTCCCTTGGTCTATAGATGTGCATGGTCCATTTTGAGATGGATTAGAAAACCAGGTGGCCAGTTTAGTTTTCTCAAAGTTTATTTATAGATTACCCTTGGTTTCTAGTTATGCCCTTTTTTAGAATTTTTTAACATTTAGAATTGGATTTTGGAACAGTCAAAAAAAAAAAAAATAGGTGACTGTCTTAGATTTGACGATAAAGATCATTATCAGGAATTTTCAAATTTCATGTAATAAAAGAAAATAGATAGGGAGGAAAAAAGATCCAACTTTTAATGGCCAAATAAAAATCAGACAATGGTGGGTGCCAAAATCCCCCCGAGGATCACTAATTATATTTGTTTTGATTGAGTGGAGATAATAGATTGTATGGTCTTCTGGTTGTCTGTCTATTTTAAAGCTTACAATTTTCATTTGATCTGACATTTACATTATTAGGAGCAGTTTTTGAGTCATGACTGCACCATAGAGAAGTTAATTGTCATTCTCAGTGAATTAGTCCTTTTACATTTTATGTATCATATCATTACTAGATAGAAATACATGTATATATGATTACGGTAGATTTTATGTGTATATATATTTTTTTCATTAAGATAAGAAAGTTTGCTGCTCTGAAGAAGGAAGTAGAAGAAAGTGCTGCAAGTGTCGAAGCAACATTGGAGGCATTCCGTTCCTAACTGCCTTGTTTTTCTTTCTTTGTATAATTTTTAAATCATTCTGAAATAAACCATGATAGAGGCTATGAAGTGAAAAAAATACAAACACTTCATACTGTTTCAAATCAAAGATCCGATATGAAAGGTAGTTGATTGCAATGTTTGAAGATTTTTTGGACCATTTATTTATTTATTTTTTTTTTTTTTTGGTAATATTATTATTTGGTAAAATCAATTTGAAGTATATGTACATTAAAAATGATTAAGTAAAGTAAGAAAAAAGAATTCCTACTGTTGACTGATAACCTCACCTTTTATTTGTAGAGTTTAGAAATGAAGAGGCACAACAATTGTATGCTGCATATTTCATTTCATGTAGTCTTCTCAATTCCTGTATGGCTTGTGAATTTCTTGGTCTTGGACATTATAGGGCATATCAAAGGAAGGCCATTCTTTGTTGCCTAATGATTTTCAAATAATAGTAAACTTTTTTGATTTTTTGTTTTGAAATCTTTTTAAAAATGATATAAAACGTTTTTATGAAAAGGAGGAAGTAAATGTGGACATACATGTTCACAAACATTCCCGAGTAACAGCTGGAAAATAGGATACCATAAAAAAATGTAAATATTCATTTTCTTACCGACTGTACAAATTGTGCAATATAATGTTTCTGCCTCAAGTCTCTGTTTTTTATGCTATATCCACTATCAGTACATGCGAATTCGAATACCATGCTCTATACTATTTGTTTTAATATGTTCTATATGTTATTTCCTGGTGAACTTTTGTCTATATTATCATTCCTCTGAAATTCTTGCTCTTTTTCCTTTTCTGACTTTGTTAGTACATGTATATATTTGTGATATTTAAAGAAAATACAGATGTAACTAAGTTTAAAATATACATATATTAGACAGCCAGCATGTAATCAAGACATGTTTTATGATTCCTAATCTTGATACTACTTGTATTCATGAACGTACATTTTTCTTATACGCCTGGTTTTTCTTTAGAATTTACTTGGTATTTTTTAGTATTTCCAAGATGTAGTGTCATTTCTTCAAATTCTTAGCTGAAGTTAATCTTGTGTCGTTCCTCCTGAAAGATAATATTGCTTCTGTACTATTGCTAGAATCTTTGGACTTGTTTCTTATAAGTCTATTAAAATTTATGCAGATCAGCTGCTTTTCTAGAAGACATGACTGTAGAGTCCACTAAAAATTGTTTATCAATGTTGATTATAATTTTGGGATAAAAACTTGTCTTGATTTTTGCTATTTTGTCCTGGGAATATATTGAAAATATAATTCAACATCATTTCATACTTACGTAATTCTTTCTTTAATAACATTTGAATTTTTGTGATGTGCCTCTTGTCCAGAATTTGAGCCACCTATGTAATTATATGATTTACTGTTGTAGAATCTGGATAGTCAAAGAATTGATACCATAATAAATATCACCATGTATATACAAAGCTTTGTTTTCATTTTGAGTTTTTTTCTTCTGAAATTCAGCAAAAGGTAGGATATATATGAGATTTTTTTTCTAATCTATATACTTAGAAGACTTCCCACAGCGAATTCTGATTAAACTATCAGCCAAAAATATTAGTAATGAATCATACTGAAGAAATGTTATTTTTAGCTCGCCTATTTTAAGACAGTATCTGACCTAATTTAAGGGTCCCATAATGAAATTCCAGTGATGTCACAAAATCATTAATAATCAATATCAACTATTGAAACTAAAATTATTCCATCATAATGAATTGGTGATACCATTTTAACAATTAGATGATATCACTATATCAATTGGTATACCACCAAAGAAATGGAGTCAATGCTGTTACTTTCATACAGGATGTTTTTGTTACTCCTTCCTTGGATACCTACCTGGTATGCAGGGTGATTGGAAAATAAGGACAAGCTTAGTAGAGTGACAATCGCAATAAGCTTAGAGTAAGTTGATATCTAATTATTATGTAATTCGTCCAGAACTGTGTGCTTCATCAGGACACTCAAGTACGAAAATTTTCTCTTAAAGTACTTAAATCTGGGCAAACATATATTGTGACATTAATAAAGGGGGTTCGCCTTCTAGGACTTTCTATAGAATCTGTAAGGGTTAGCAATTAAGTCTTACAGGTTAATTTCTTCTTTCATGGCAAAGTTACAGAGTAAATTAAATGTCTCTAAAGACGAATACAAATTAAAGAAGTAAAATAACAAGTTTAACAAAATATTGATTAATCAGTTCCTAGGATCAGTTCATCTTGCCACAAAGAAATGGTAGATTATGACTTTTTCTGTTGGTTTGTATTCTGGATAAACATCTTCTACATCCACTTTATATAGGTAGCTCCTCTTTGTCACCCTACTTATATCAACTGATGATATCACAAACTAAGATATAAATATATTATCAAGTTATTGATGATATCACAATAATCTTCACACCCTTGAAAATCATTGAAAAGCTTCGTTAATACTGAAAACAATTATATTCTCGTGATTCCACCAATATTTTTTGAATTGGTGATATCACCTATACATTTAGGGATAACACCATAATTAATAGATCTTATCATAATTGTGGGTGCCATTTCATTATATTCTGAGAGATATTGAAACAATTTTCAGAATAGGCAGTCCAGTCTAACATTCCCAGATTCACTTCTCATCATTTCATTCTATCACTTGGTATGATATAAGCTTGTATGCTGCTGAGGGCCATGACAAAAATGATAATGTCATCAATGACTGACAATCAGGAGAGATAACTTAGTATACTTTGACCATTTGTTGTTAACCTGCATGAAAAATAGGCATATAAAAGGTACAATATCTCAGAACTGGTGTCCACTTTCAGTAATATCAGTAGGAACTCAAGTTCTTGCATAAAGTCCTGTTTTCTATGGACAGAAAGAGTGATTAACCGGGGTGGTTAACAATCAACTGATAAGAGACAGTTTGCCTTCAAACCTAAAAACTTACAATCATGCTTTCATCGGGCAGGCTCCAATATATATGATATCTTACGGTTATTCAGCTTCCATCTCATGCAATTTATGAAACTTGTCACAATTTTTCTGTTTTACTTGAAAGATTCTGTTCATCATAGACTGGTATAAGATCTAATGAGGCTTCATATTCTTGCCCCATTGCTCAATCTTAGATGCCATGACAACACAGATGACTCATTATGAAAACAATGGGAAAATCAAGCCAATCACATTTTTACAAAGGTGTTGTTATTTCACATTGACAAAATATATGTAATGGCAGGGACATCAAATATGCATTTTATGGCTGGTAATTGGCATCATTACACAAATAATGTGGTCTAGTTTTGGGATAAAGCATGACTATATACAAATTAATGTAGTGATAGTGTACTGTTAACCTGTTCTTAGATTGAACTTGATAGAGGAAAAGAGTATCAAATTTTGTCAGATCTTACCAATACTGGATCTATGTATAGCCTGCTTTCGTATCAACTCATTTACTTGCCCATTTTTTGTCACTCTCCAAATTTTGTACATATATAAATTAATTAAATATGGAATCTGGACATTTTATATAACAAGATCATCAAAAACGACTGTCCATGCTAATGTCCAATACAGCCAGTTTGGATTTCCATTTAGAGCAAGACATGGAAAGATAATGCATCTAGATGGATATATTAAATTGAAACTTAAATAAATTCATGAACCTCGCAGTATAACAAATCTTTTATTTATGATTGTCACGAAAATTGTAACTAATGTTTGGGGTGTAATATAAAGTCTCTTGTATCATCTCTTAAAACAAACAATTTATCTATATGGTTAATCCTTATTAAGTGCTTGTACCAATGTAGGATTTACATTTATTGTACCTCTTTAAATATTGTAGATTTTAACCTAACTTTTCATCGATCTGAAAAAAAATGAGTGCATGTTAATCAATCTAAAAGCAGATTTGAGTTTTATATTAGAATGCCATTAAAACTTCAGTTTCGTGTGAATTTATTGTTTGCGACAGCAATCTTTGCCGTAGGCGAGGCCTATTGATTTGTTGAACGGAAGCACGTGGCAATGTTTGTTTACGGAAGTTATCTGCATTGTGGGAAATAAAAGGCTCGAAATTCAAAGCAAGATGGCTTCGATTGATAGTCTTATCGACAGTCCAAGATTTCATGGATTCCAAAGATCTATTCCGCTGAGAGCTTCTAAAGTTCATCTAGGTAATGCATATTGACATTTCTAATTTCTGGCAAGCAACCTATCACCTGATAATTTGACTAAAGTTAACAAAGAAACGGGGAAGCCTCATACAGGTGCCCTTTGCCAGATCAGCAGTTGGCTGCTCTGTATTTATGTTTGTCTACTTTTTACATTTAACATCCATAGGTCTAGTTTACTTATTGGCACGTGTATTGCATATAACTAATTTTTTCCACAATTGCGGTGTCGGCGGTCATGGTGTTTGATAAGGTATCAGAATTGTTTTATTTTTATGTCTGGTATTTGATACAGGAAAATGCAATGTACGTTATTTTACTTCATCCGCAGAAAAGCTGTAATACTAAAAGTTGACGTAAAACCCGTTAGATAAATAGATATACATGTATATACATAGCTATTGCATCATACATATACGAAATATTCAAGTGCTGCAATATATCAATATAAACATATCGTGCAAGACAAGACAAAAACCGATAGCTAGGCTGAGAGTTGACCACTTTACTTCCATAAGGGTATGAAATTATAAAAAAGGGATGATAGAGTAAGAGTAATAGTTTTGCACAGTACATAAATTCATACACTTCATGATTTATTGTCTTTTTCCTTTAACTAGCAGTGTATTATGCTTTTGCTGTTTTAAATATAACAATTTGGAGTGACCTTGTTTTGAAAACGAAACATTGCCTGTATTGCACATGTCAATGAAAATGGATATCAGGTTATCAAATATTTGATATGAAAATAATCCTAGAGATCAATTGGGTTACACATTTCCAAATAATAAGAGAATATATTGTTACATCAGATTATAATTAAAGTTGCTTCAAAATTATTGTTTCAAAATCAACTGAGTACAACATTGAGGCCCCATGACCTGCCGTCTACCTGTTTACATTTACTTTGGGACCGTAGGTAAGTCATTTTTGAAGAATACAGGTCAATAAGCCTTTTTAACCATATGTTTTCAACAGCATAAATAGCATAATTACCTAAAATAAGATTAATATAAAATTTTAATGAAATTTATTTCTCCATTAATGAAATGAAAGTACATTGGTGGTAAAAGGACACTATTCAGTTTGGTGGAAATAAGTTGACTTTCAACACTTTTAAATTCTTTTTTTTTTTTTGGCTCAGTCTAAGTCTAGTTCACTCGGAGCCTCTCGGGAATCATCATTAGTTTCTCTGAAAAGTTTGTTTAGTAATTTGGAATATAAATGATTAAATTTTTATGCGTTAATCTCTAATACTGTTATAATTCATTCAAAATGATGTTTTTGAGATGATAAGTATTGATGAATCCAACATCGAGTGCTTAGTAACGTATTCAAAATGGCGGCCTTCATAGGCACGGACGATAGCATAGTGAAAAACCCGAAGGGAAAGGCTGATGTTTGGAAGCACTTCATTTTACAGTTGTTTTGCATTTGGTTTTATTGTGTAATCTGCATTATTGTTTCGCTTAATGAAAATGGATGGATTTCTTCTTACAGTGAAATATCATAATACGTATCATGATACGCTGATCATGTATCGCGATATATTGTGATACAAAAATTCTCATGATACCCATCCCTAATGAATGTGTAGATGTGTGTACCATGTATGAATTTAAGATTGTGCTGTTCCCAATCGGTTTAATCGTTTGTATTGTCTAATTTCATCATATATACACTGTAAGTTTTACCTTGGAAATAACTTTATATGTGCTCTTAGGATATTGTGATGTTTTCCTTCCTCTAAATGTAGCTCATGAGATGATGATCAACACTAAGATATAAGGCGAAATGTTCATAAATATCAGAGATACAATTTGTTGAAAATTGTTGAGTAAAAGAGTCCAACAAGAATTTATACAGATTACATTTTGATTAGTTTTCAACAAACTAATTCTGTAATTAAACAGATTTATTGGTAAGGAATCTTGTTTAAAAACACAACCCCAGAAATCTATAATAACAAATTGAACTTCATAGATTACCAGTACGGCAACCTGTCTGGATTCAGAGAATTTTTTATCTCTCTTCTGAGATCTAGAGGATGTATTTCCATTTGAACCATAAGCAATTCTTTTAGCAAAGTAATTATATAAAGAAATTTAGTTTGAAATACGAAGGTATAGTATGAAATGTGTATGTACACTGTTCCTAAGTTGTGATAAGGTAGGCGATCAGTGTTGGTTTTACACATGGAGAGCAGTGTTTGGTGATCTACAGCTAATGTGACATGTAGTTTATTATCTAATACTAGCACAGGTCAGCATAGATAGGGCCATGTGCATTGTATGTGGTCGGTGTGGCGATGCTTATCTGTATGCTGGTGGATGCTTATCTGTATGCTGGTGCCTTATGTAACTTATGTAACACTTGTTTGTAACATCATATCTTATATCTTGCTAAATATAGTCTTCTCATCTCACCTTTATCTGTTATTTACTGGAAACATTTAACATGTTTTTCATTTTACTGGCACCGTGACCTTGGACACCACTTTAATATGATCACTGGTCATTCATTGGATCAACACTCTGAACCTCAATACATTTAACACATTTTCATTATACCTTTCAGTGCATTCTTGAAAACAGAAAGATGTTCCTAACCTGTTAATTGCAATTAATAGGATGCAACAAAATATGATTGCAGTTTTTTCTTGGTTGGTGACTTGTCAATATATAACACCAATGGAAAGCCGAGTGAGAGTTGTTTTCTGTTTTGTTTTGGTTTTATTTTTTTTTAGCAAAAATGCGTCAAGTACAATGATAAGAAAGTCATTAACATAATTAACAATTATTTAATGCCTTGCTTCTATGTGGTTGAATATCAGGGTTTTTGCCTAGATGTAGATACCAAATTTAAGTTTGCAGAATGATTGTATATGACGTAAATATATGGACAATGAGGTGCAATCACAACACAACCTGACATACGCTGTTAACAACTTGCTTTATTTACATTTAAGCTAAAAATATTCATATATACCTACCGATATTTCCCAGTGGAGGCCTTTATCAGGGCCATTGCATTTATTTCACCATTTTCTTAAGTACTTTCTAGCAGGTGCAAACCAAACTCTTCTTAGCCAAGTGTTGACGTCATCAATTGATGTGATCCAGTAACCTTGACATAATTTATTGAATGAGTTTACAGAGGATTAATCCCTTTTGAAAATTAATGGTTTTGCAGTATGTGTGAATGATAACATAAATCAGAGAACTGTGACAGTGTCAAAAAGTGTGAAAGTCCATCATACTTCAATTTCAGTAGGTCACATTGCACAGTCAGTAGACTGAACTAAATGCCTAATCAGACAGTTGGTGACACTTTTCATCATCACACTGATGTGCAAACTGTGGCCTCTAAAATTACAAGTAATTGATATGAATTCTTCATAAGGGCTTTTTCTAAGGGGCTCAGTGGAGCCTTTTTCCCAATTGGGTTTATTTAATGATATTGCCAAATTCTCAAAATATATAGTTTACTCTTTACAATTTCTGCACTGATCAGATGTCTTCCTAAAAGGCGATTAAAGGCTATTTCCCAAATGAGAGAGAAAAAGGCCTGATCCATCAGATAATTTTAATGTGTAATATAATTCAATCAGAGAGATAATAAGGATTTATTGAGGACAAGTTTAGACCTATTTGGTAAGTTTCTTTACTTATTGTCTAAATCCAAAAACTTCTTGAACCTTATTTAGGTTAGGAAATTACTGCCAGACATGAATGTAATGTACACATATGACCAATTCACACTTTAGTCAATAGGGCTATTTGGTACACCTAAAGAAATATACGTATTAATTTGTATTACCTTAATATATTTGATAGTATATTGAAATCCATATACCTATGTTGTAATCAGCTTTAAAGGTCCTCTTCCCTCAGTTATATCTTTAATCTCTAGAAAGGTAATCTGTTTATCGTACATAAAGGATTTGAAGTTACCTATATCAAAAGCCATATATATATATATATATATACAACACCTGCTCAGTTGATAGTTTTATAGATTCTGAATGGAGCTGGTAACTCACTTAGATATTACCATTTTTATCTCAAATAAGTGAAGTTTATGAAGGGTTTATATTGTAATTACTTTTTGCTTTGATTCTAAAATAGATGACTCTGTAAAAATGACTTATTGTTTTATTTGTTGATAAATAAGTAATTACCTGAATAGAGGTAACAGACAGTTGAGGAAGCGTCAATGTTTTAACACGCATTGTAACAGGGGTCTAGATAGAACTTCAAAAGATCTCCATAGATAAGGAATCATTTATAAATCATATGTATTGTAAAAACTTACATTTTTTCAGGCTAAACGTACTCAGTACGCATAGCCTATTGCTTCGGCATTTCAGACAAAATTTACTGATCCTGGCCTTCTTATTGGCTGAAATATCGAAAGGAGTTAGAGCCCTCTAGGGGTAATTTTCTGCATAAATAATGTTCAAATCTCTATTTTAAAAGCATCTGCAATTAGTTTTTTTTTAATAACAATATGATAACTATATTTTTTCTTATGATCACTTTTTAGCTGCTGCAATGTTACTGTTATATCTGGAATTATCACAATATTTGGATTTATTTTGAGTTAACCATAATATCTTGGCTTGATCAAATATTTTCACCATGTTCTGACCATAAAACAGTATGTGATAGACTACTGTGGTGAATTGGTCTGTATATTGTTATTGCTGTCATATGATATCATTATTTCTGTCCCTGATTAAGTTCACCCTGTTGTCAAGGTTTAAATTAGATTGGGGCAAATCTGGTATTTTGTATTCAGGTACATTTTTTCACAGTGAAAATAAGCTTTTAAAGAAAAAAAAGCTAGTTATGAAATTTCCACTTATGTTTGGGTGAGTTAATCACAGTATTTGCAGTGAATATCAGCGAAAAACAGCTGTAAAAAAGGAAGGAATTTTTATGGTATTGATCCAGGTCAATCTGAATGTTTATTGTAACAAGTGTTATATTAGTGCTTACAAA